CTTAACCTAACCTAACCCAAAATAATACTAAATAAATACTACATTATTAATTTCGTTATGTACAAAATTGATAGGAGGGGGGGGGGCCTGGGGGGGGAGTCCAAAAATCGTTCACTAGGACAGACCCCTTGCATTTAAATGTAAGTTTGCAATGCGATGAACAATCGTTTCATTTCGTAAAAAATAATTGAAATTATTAGATTTGGACAATTTAGAAATGTCTGCCAAGAAAAGAACTGTTCCTATTCTAAAGGTAAGTAAACCCTGGGTAATTTCCTAGAGGATGAGTTTTGGACCCCCCACACTCCCTCCGGGCCTTCTCCCCCTCCTATTAAATTTGTATAGGATCTCAAATGTAACTCGTGGATATAGTTGATTATGTGGTCGCGTCGCTCAACCCCCTAGCCTATCCTAGCCGCGGCGCTCGGCCCCTAGCTTGTCCTTTTTGGGAAGTTGCCACTTGGGAAAATACCCTTGGGAAGTTGCCACTTGAGAAAAATCCTTTGCGAAAGTACCCAACATCGTAAAATAGATTCGCCTATCAATTTATTGACTGTTTTATTTTCGTTGAAATGGTCTATTCTTAGATTGATCTAATTTTGATTGATAAATGTATTGATTAAGTTTTTAAATTTACCGTTTGATTAATTGATTTATTTATTTTTTCATTGTTTAATTGATCGACAGAGTTATTTAAAGTTTGGATCAATAATTGATTGATAAATTGATTAATGGCCTGCTCTTTGAAGGAGGAGGTTGAGTCTGAGGCTCCCGGGGGCTCTGTTCTCCGATACACAGTTATAGCAGACGATGTACCAGCAAAGCGCATGCGCACACAGGTTAGAGTACATTTTTTAAACCGTTTACATCACCCTTCCTTTAGAATCAAAGGTCTCCTCGAATTCTGTGAACAATCATTATTAAATCATTATTAAACTGATTATTCCTAACGTACGCGTTAATTCTGTGTTCCGAAGTTTGGGGGTTTAATAGAAATCTAATATTTTTAGGACAAAATAACTTTGCAAAGAAATAAATTATTTTTTTTTGGCGTGCATAAACTATGATTGACAGTTTCAAAACAAGATGTCAACTTCATACTAATTAAAATTTGAAATATTTCTGTTTACAGGAAGATGAAATAGTAAATGTTTCCACCTGGCAAACCTGCTCACTTTGTGGATCTAAGGAGCACATTTTTATTCGATACTAGTTATCGATAAATAAATGCACATATTAACTTAGAGATAATTATCAAAACTTCAAATAAAAACTTAATAGAGGCAATGAAAGAATAATTAAAACGGAAACGAATAGAAGTATTGCTAAAAAATTATTTATTCACTGTGGTACATATGAAACAAGTGAATAAATAAAATGTGTAAATTCTTTAAAAAAAAAGTTTGTGAAGGTTTAAAAAAAAGTCCAAAAAAATGAAAGAATAAATGAAATTAGTTTTAAAAATCATATAAATGATGAAAAAATAAACAGAAAAATAGAAGAAAAGATGGAATGAATATTGAATAAAAAATGAATAAAGGTATCTGACCTCGCAACTCATATTGTAGATGACCATACTGAACTCCAAGATCTTGACAGGTATGATAGGTCAAAGTCCCCACAATGGTCTATTACGTAGGTCAAAGTCTCCACAGTTGTCTATTATGGAGGTCAAAGTCCCAACAATGGTCTATGGTTGAGGTCAAAGTCTCCACAGTGCAGGGGTTTATGGTGGAGGTCAAAATCCTCACTATTTTGTTAAGGTTTAAATTTTTGTTGTTAACATTTTTTTACCACTTCATAATTAATTTCCACCTAAAAGTTTATCAGGGTGTGGGGGGGGGGGGAATACCCATTTGATTTTTAGATCATATGCAAAGTCGATTTTCTAAATATTATGTTTCAGAGTTGATGGAAGAGCCAAAGCTGTGACAGTAAAATCCCCTAATCCAGTCAGATATAAGGTAAGGAGTGGGTGGGGTGTCAGCAGACCTGGATTTTTATAAACAGGGAGAATACGATAATTTCCTTTCTTAGTTGAATTAATAAACGTAACTAAACCTCTTAACTAATTATAACTTAAAATCAATTAAATGTTCTAACGCCCCCCCCCACGATTATTTTTTTCGACCTATAAATAGGAGTCACATCTATAAAATATAAGACGACATTCGTATATATATATATATGTTGCCTATAGCCGACCAACACCTGGCCCTTCAGCAAGTTACTACTAAACCTGTGAGTTTTCACAGAGATACGTTATTGTGAGATTTAGAAACCCACAAAGGTGATAAAGGTCGTGGGGGCTAATTTGATTAACTTACCGTAACCTTAAATATTAGAAGAATTTGGCACAAACTAGTGGCCCATCAAATATAGCGGTAATAGTACTAACCTGTCCTAGTCCAGAACCGAACTTCCAGATCTGGAACATTAGATCGTTGAACTCATGGTACATGATGTATTAATACATGAAATGCAATCACAAAATCTCCTGGGGGAAAGTAGGGAATGGTGAGGATATGTGATCAGACGAGGAAGAAGGTAGGCTCAGGTAGGACAGAGGGTAGGAGAAGGTAGGCTCAGGTAGGAGAGAGGGTAGGAGAAGGTATGCTCAGGTAGGAGAGAGGGTAGGAGAAGGTATGCTCAGGTAGGACAGAGGGTAGGAGAAGGTAGGCTCAGGTAGGACAGAGGGTAGGAGAAGGTAGGCTCAGGTAGGAGAGAGGGTAGGAGAAGGTATGCTCAGGTAGGAGAGAGGGTAAGGAGCTGTTTTCTCAATATCCAGGTAAGAGAAGCTAAATAATCGGTTTCTGTCAGGCGCTCTACTATTTTATTCTGGTGGTTTATAACGGGACCTCTTTTTCAGATTTCTTTTCTTATGTTTCTTATGGTCATCACAGATATAGTATTTTTAGGATTTAAGGTCTGTCAATGATTAAAAATAAATTAAAAATTTTGAAAATTTTTAAATGAACATCGAAAAGAGATTAAAGAAGGCCTTGATTGGTATACTTTAATTAAAATTCATCCATACACAGTCCGAAAACGCTCCATTTAGGGTTAATTTTAACTTTTTTTATTCAGGGCCCGTTTCGTCAAGTTAAACCAGTTCTGCGCTACCCTTGTGATGCATGCAAGACTGTCACAAAAACTTCGGACCAGGTATAACACAAGGTTTAAAGTGGGGAAAAAACAAGTTCAGTAGGGTTATGTCTTTTTTCTGAAAGCAAAAGTTTTTTCTTCCTGGAATTCTAAGGCATATTTTAGCACATAAAGTTTATTTTTTTCACAACGATTAAAAATGGCTGTCTCATCAAATAAGTTTTTGTAATAAAAATGTGAAAAAGATAGCTAGTATAAGTAAAAATAAAAAAACTTGAAAAGCATATTTAAATGGAAACCTACGTTCAATTTACAGAAAAAGATCTCAAAAAATTTGGGATTTGCTCAAAATTTTTAAATTTAATTTTTTTGAATTCTTTAAATTGATTTGAAACCGGAAATACAACCCAGTTTCAATAATCTCAATTTGATTAGGCAGCCATTCTTGATTTAAAAAAATACCTAATATAAACATTAAGCATGCATTAGAATTTCTAATATTAAGGTCCAGTGCTTTGGATCCATTTAATTTTGATGCGGAAACGGATCCTGGATCCGCACTGGAAAAAAAAGGATCTGGATCCGGATCCAAGTCATTTCTTTAAGATTTACCGATTTTTTTTTTTCAAATCAGAATGAATTTTCAAATTTTTCGTCTTATTTTTTACTGAACTAGATGAACCAGTTAGAAATCAGGAAAATTTTATTTTCTTTTTTTTTCAATAATTCCAATTTTGGTTTTCCGCATTTGGTGTGATATTTTGCCCCTTGGAACCGGATCCGTGGATCCGCATATTTTTGCGGATCCGGATCTTAAGCACTGAATAAAACAAGGTTTCTCTGTATTTTTACTACTAATAATGATAATAATTTTTTAAAGGTACATTCTTTTAACTTTTTTTTTTTTTAAAGTTTATTTTTTTTTCTTTTCTATCGACAAATAATTCTTTTTTTTTTTACTTTTTAAAGGAACAAAGTTATTTCAACATGTTTTAGTTGAAGAAGCATATGATCCTTGTGCACAATGGACACAAGAACACATCCTGGATGTTCTGCGGAGACTGTGAGTACGCGACCAGGGTAATTTTTAGCGGTTTTACTTAAACGGACCAGACACTGTATTTCCAAGTGACCTTCCTTTTCAAGTTTCATGCCTAGTTTACAATGGTACCAAAGAGTAATAATAATTTTCATAACAAAGAAATTCTGCCAACCAGGGTTTTTGTTGTTACCGTCTATATACTTAAATCCATAAAACGATGGTTGGCTAAAGTTAAGATTTTATATTATACAATAACTACAACAATTGTGCAGTGAACAAATACACATTTCACTTCATAAGTTTATTCTTAAGATACAAATACACACAAGATTACTTCTTCCTATTCAATAGTTTAATTTGTATTTCTTGCGTGTAATTTCAAGTGACCCTCAACAAACTTGCTTGATTTACAACTGGTCACCTTTAATCCTTTATGAGTTGGAATAAGGAAGATAAGAGAGAAATTTGTTAATATCCATCTTTGTTGTAAAAATCCGCGAGTCACTGTACAAGAGAAATCTGAAAAAAAATTTCATGGAGAAAAACAAGGAAATCAACATTATGTTCACTCAGACAATGGTTCAAAAGATGCCGTTCAACTCTTGAAATGGAATTTTACGAATAGTTCCTTTAATTTTTGTTTTTGTGATAGATTAATCAAAATCTATTAAATTAATTTATTTTCCACCAAAAAGACTTTACAGTATTGTTAATAATAAAATTGTAACATACACTTACAGATGGTTAAATATAGATTGATTGATTGATCAATAGAATTTATTTAGGTGGAGGATGAGTTGATCAACCATGTTAAGATTCATCAGATTTTTAACATCTTAAAGGAGGATTTTATAAAGGCAGAAATCCCCGAAATTCCAGGTATCCGGCATGATTATATAATATATTATTTATATTTTAGCTCCCCCCCTGAATTTGGATATTTTAGGGTAAAAATGATATATTTTGGTATATACCCTCAATTTTACCCCTTGAAATGAGAACAGTATCAAGAATAAAGATCCCCTTGAAATTTCATATGATGTTTTCGGGGAACGAAATTCAAAATGAATAGATCTTCTCTTTTCAAATTATAATAGTTGAAAGGTTAGGGTGAAAGTTAAATATAACATCCCTGGTTTACATAATATTGTGTAGGGGACAGTGATTTCTCCGAGACCCCTATTGAGTGCGGGGACTGCAGCTTCACAACCCACCACGAGAACGAGATGTTTACTCATGTCAAGGAGCACATGGGGAAACATGACAAGGTGGAAAACTGATTAATTGATTTTCAGAATTATTAAAATTAATAAAGATAAAAAGATGGATCGATGGGTTAGCCTTTTTTTAAAAAACAACATTTCCAAAATTTTTCTCAAATTCAAAGTTGGAAAGTGAAAAAGTTCTAGACACGATTTATATGAATCTAGAGAACTTTAATATTACATTTCAGGGATAAAATAGAATACAAAAAGGATTTTTTAAAGTGTAGAATTTAGAGAGATAAAAGGAAACCATGATTAATTTTTTAGTACGGTCCCGTAAATGAAGAGGAAAAGAAGAAGTTGGAAAAAATGGAGAAAAAGGTAAAAAAATAGTGTTAATNGGAAAGAAGAATTTGACAGAATGAAAAAATTACCTATTGAAGTCCAATTTTTTTTTTCTTAAAAATATAGACCCCTGAATAATTCTAAGAAAATTAAAGGGAGTGTTCGCTTTGGTTTCTATCGGATATATCCATGGCACCAATTTTTGTGATCTTAGGAGAACGGACTAAAATCCATTTTCCAGAATAATGAACTTATTACAGATATTTCATATTTTAACCATTCTCATTTAAAGGGACTGTCTTGTTGTTGACTCACATTTAATACGTTGCATCACACAACGGTATCCGACAAATCTGACTTTTTCCTTCTTTGTCTCTGCTGCATAATCCGCAAGACACATGGGAATATATCAAGTTTTAGAATCAAGGTTTAAAGGATACTGTTGTGAATACTGTCGTCTTCCTATTCTACAGTTTTCTGGATATCAATGTAGAATAGGAAGACGACATTAAAGCAATACTGAAGAGCATTTGATGTTGTTACAAAGCAAATGACTTAAATTAGTAAGTTATTAAATCACTTATTAGGTGAAATGGGTCTGTGAACACTGCACAAATACTGTGCGTCATGTTCATTAAGACTATTAAAGGTCATAAATTGCGGGTAAAAGTCGACTTACTATTCAAGAGTTTTCTGGTTATCACTGTACGTCCACAATAAAATACGTCCCTCTACGTTCAATTTAATTTTTAAATCTTTTATTATAATAAGAATTTATAGGGAAAGAAGATGATAAATGTGAGACAGTCATTTTACTTCTGTACACTCTGCCCTTTCAAGGTGACTGTAATCCGATTGTTGAACATTTTTTAAACTTTAGATCGTTTTTAAACAAATCCCAACATTTTTTATGAAGAACATGTAATACTGAGTTCATTGATTGAGGAATGATTTATTGATTTGAATTCTGTTGATCTTTGTAAATATAATGTATAATTATATATATATATGACTTTATTTTAGATTAATTAATGAATAAATATTAAACTGATATTTTATTTTTGATTTATTGATTAATTTGTCTATTGATTTCTTTTTCAAATATTGATTGATTGATTTGATTGATTGGATTAATTTGATTAATTTGATTGATTTGATTGATTTGGTTGATTTGGTTGATTTGATTGATTTGATTGATTTGATTGATTTGATTGATTTGATTGATTTGATTAATTTGATTGATTTGATTGATTTGGTTGATTTGATTGATTTGATTGATTTGATTGATTTGATTGATTTGATTGATCTGATTGATCTGATTGATCTGATTAATTGTATTGATTGTATGATTGTATCCAGGGTAAGACCAAGGCTGAGCTGCAAGAGCACAAGATGTTCACAATCCACAATAAGAAGGGTGGAACCGTCACCATCAAACATAATCCTCTCAAACCCAAGAAAGTTTTTTAAACATCACTTTGAATAACCTCATAGTAGCCTCTACACTGGTTCTAAACAGCCTCTGCACTAGTTCTTAACAGCCCCTACACTGGTTCTTAACAGCCTCTGACAAACCCAAAAAAATATTCTAAACACGATCTTTATTAGCATCGCAACAGCCTCTTCACTGGTTCTTAACATCCTCTGCACTAGTTCTTAACAGCCTCTACACTGGTTCTTCACAGCCTCTGCACCAGTTCTTAACAGCCTCTACACTGGTTCTTCACAGCCTCTGCACTAGTTCTTAACAGCCTCTACACTGGTTCTTAACAGCCTCTGCACTAATTCTCAACAGCCTCTGACAAACCCTTGACAATTTTCTGAAGAAGACCTTTAATAGTCTAATAATAGCCTCTGACAAACGCATCACTCATTACAGTTTCTGTGCCGCATGTTTTTAACTGGCTCTAGAATGATTATTCACTTGTATTATTTACAGCCTTATAAATGGTTTAAAACACTGATACAATGGTCAGCAACATCTTCTAGACGGTCTATTTACACTCAAAAAGCAATTTAATTAAACTATACGTTTGTCAACTGTATAGTACTGCATAATGTACAGTACAGTGTACGGTGTACATGGAATATTATGATTTATCTATTTGCAATTTTTATTCTTTGTATAAGAAGCTTGTATGAATATAATTTCAGATTTTGGCATTGTACATATATAAATAATTGCTTTGCATTTGTGTCTTATGTCTAATTACATTGTTTTCTTTGTACTCTCTCTTGTTTAGAAGAATTTTATTGCAATGCAGCTTTTAAAAGTCGATCACGTTTTTTTTAACATAAGGGTATATTTTTATTAAAGACAATAGACCATAAATTTACTTTAATTAATTCCAAAAACTTTATGAAATTTTCTCAATTGTGAATCAGTTTTGTTGTTATTATTCTATAAACATTCAAGGCATTATAAATAATATAGAATGATTTCGTTGCAAAAATATATCTAACGTTTAGCAGGCGCCAATGACGCGCTAGGAATTTCATAAATCAAAGTCTGTTTTTTAACCAAATGTTTCTGTAAAATGTTGTTTTGTCTGAATTATTTTGAATATCTACAAAGTACAAATTTCAGAAAATAATGTACATATCTAAACTGCGTTAGCAAACAACTGTGATAAAATCACAATAAATTTACAGGTTAGTGTTATAATGTTTTTATAGTTGTTAAGATCCCCCCATTTGTTGAAATAATGTTAGCTTAAGAATATTGCCATTTTTCCTTACTTCATTTGGTCATAAGGCCATACTAAAAATGTGGGCCCGATCGGGTCAGTCAGTTAGACGTTTATTAGACACTAAATATATGGTGAGCATTTTATTTTGATTAAATAAAACAGAAATAATTTCCTTAAAACTGCGCACTAGGTTGAATCAAGCATCCTGTAAATAGAGTTTGTACAGTTTTCAGACTGATCATTTTAAAATTAATAAAAATAATTCTGAAACATTTCAAAGACTAACCATATGAAAAATACAAGCTAAAAAAATAAAAATGTTCCATAAATGTGTAATTTGATAAAAAGATAATTAGATTTTTTAAAAATATGTTACTAGTTTCTCCGCACCCTAATACATATTAAAAACGGGAAAATCGTCAATCTTCTGTAATAAAACGTGATAATGATCCTTTTTTTCTCTATAGGGATGTCGGGTGGACTTAGTTTAAAGTCCCAAGTAAGATTGGACCCGAAATGGTCTGGAACAGATATAGGTAAACATAAATTTTTTTTCTCCTTTCCTATACGTTTCTCTGATACGTTTTACCGATACGTTTTGCCGATAAGGTTTACCAATAAATACTGAAAATAAAATCTTAAACAATTTTAGAATAACGTGGGGAAAATAATAATCATTGGAGAGGGGGGTGATTTTTAGTTTAATATGCAGTTGTAACCAGAAAAAGTGAAATAATTGGGATTAAAATCTGTTCATCTTTACCACGCCTTGATAATCGTGAACACTCCTTTTAATCCTGAATTTGACCTTTGTCCTTGACTTTGAGAATGACTGCGGGACTTACCCTCCCTAGAGTAGAGAAGAATAATAGGTGAACTGGAAAATATTGCACCAGCATCATGATGTTTGTGAAAAAACCTGGTTCACCAGGTTAAATTCTGCCTCGACAGGGAGCACAAGGTTGAAGGCTGGAACCAAATGCCATTTTATGCTTTAATTATGACGAGCATAAAAATGCAGTCATGGAACCAGAATAATGAATGATGACCTGACCCACAACTTCGTTTTTGCATGGTGCATGATGCTGGACCTTGGCGGAGAAACTATAAACGTATCAACGTATTTTATTTCCGAAATTTACCCCTGAATTTGACTCCTTCATTTGAACTCTGAACTTGACCTCTGAATTTGACCTCAGTTTTTGAACTCCGAATTTTTCTCTGTATATAATCTCTGAATTGGACCTCTGAATTTGACCTCTGTATTTGTCCTCTGTATTTTATCTCTGTATTTGACCTCTGAAGTTGACAACCTTGTTTGACCTCTAAAGTTGACCTCTGAAGTATACTTCTGTCCAGGACGAATGTTGACAAGGGATGGATTAAGCCAGCTCTGGAATGAGATGGTGAAGGATGGAGAACTTCAACAGAGAATACTTCCGGATCACAATCTCAGGTGAGGACAGCACACTAGGTGATCGTAAACAGGGACTAGCGAAGTATTACACGTGCATGAGCCATGAGCGCTTATACATTTTATCCGCTCCGATATTATTTCCTAAAAAAACATATTATTTCCTATTTAAAATACTTCCTTCCTCCCCTACCCCCCAGGCCTCAGGGGGGGATGATTTTTGAACATCTAGCGAAAAAAAAATGAAAAATTGGACATCTAAAGTTTTCCCCCCAAATTTTTCTAAAGCTGGAAGGATGATTTTTCAAGAAAACATACTCAACTGTTTCTTCTAATTTAAACAGAAAACATGCTCTAGATTTTTTCGATTTAGTACTTTTTCATAAATAAATGTAGTGTTGTGATTGTTAATATTTAGTGAGGGACTGAACAGTGATCGAATTGATACGTTTAAACCTTGCTGCGGACAGCTGGGATCAAATTGCAGGTTTTTACAATTTTTACAACTTTAGTTTTTTATTAATTCATCAATTTATATTCTTAACTTAATAGGCTAATTTTGTACGTCACGTTTGCTGAGAAACCATAATTGAAAAAAAAAAAATTTTTCAGCTGAACTAAGAAAAAGTAAAAACTCTCATTAATCTCCGATTAGGCAAACGTTAAACGATTACTGAGAGTCCACTTTAAAATTTGAAGTTTGTACGAGATAACATGAACAGTCCTTCAAGTCGGCTTCTTAAGTTTAGTTCTCTGTATATTCAATTTAATTTAGCTGTTCTGAGGGTATCTGTAGCTGTCCTTGTATCTCCTGTTCCTACAAGCACACGGAACAGGATGTTTCTCCATCCGTCCCGTCTCAGGATATCATTCAATCCTGGACCTGGGGAGATACTCCTTCCGTCCAAGGATTGCAGGTTCATTATTTTTAACTTCAATAGATGTCAGGGGTGTATATTTTTCAGAATTACACCCCACCCCCAGGGTCATGATTGTGACGAAATAATTTTATTATCGATGATTTTAGAATTGTTTGAGTGCAGTGGTTGGGGAGCAAAGAGAACTGTGTAACGGTGCTGCTGGGACAACTTTATCCTCCCTTAGGTAATCCGGTTTCTGAGATGAAAACTTTTGAATTGGCTCTGTTTATTAAAAGTTACTAGCTCTGGCTACTCTTACCCACAACCAGGATACGTCTTAATCCACATTAAAATATTAAGATCGGGCTTTTTATATGCCATTCCAGTTTTCGTAATTTTTACCATAAACCGGTTTCAATTGTACTTTTGTGAATCATTGTTGTCAATCTTTCACTGAGTTCTGCACAAATTAAGTTGATATTCTCTTTTTGATTTTTATTTGTTAAACGCGATGCCAAAAAGTTAAAGATTCAGTAAAGAGCAGTTTATATTACATATTTTTATGTTTATTCTATTATCTTCTTTGTGTATAAAACAAAGAATATAATATTCAAAGCTGGTGACTTTTCCCATTCCAGTGTTTAGTATTGTTACCATATTCTGGTTATAATTCTACTTGTGTGAATCATTGATCGCAATCTTTCACTAAATAGTATTTTCGTTACGTTAAATAAAAGTTTTGGCACATTTTCTAATTCTTATGTTTGAAGGTTAAGTCAACGGCTGGTCATCCTTCAGCGGTATCTGACGGCGTTAAAGAGAACTACATCCCCTTTGCAGGCTGGCGAAGCAAAAGCCGTCACAGAAACACCAAGGTTGGAAGTTATTGCATGCAGATTGCAGACTTACTACTCTTTGAGGGAAGGTTTGGGGTTTAAAGAGACTAAAGGGTCTCTCCGTGCATATATGGCAATGCCCGATTCACAACGGAACCCTGAAAAGCTTTGCCTGTTCAAGTATGAATTTTATATTAATGTTTATAAGATTGAAAATTGGTTATTTTTTTTTTGTTGCAAAAGTGACTAGAGCAGGAAAACTTGTAGGAATTATCAGAGTTAAACCTAAAAAAAGACTTCATCTTCCACATTATTAACCTGAAAAAGGCCTCAAAGTACCGTACTGTGAATCGGACACTCTCATCTGAGCATAGAGGGTTGTTTAAATTACGCTTACAGTCCCTTTAAACACACCAATAAGACGGAAAAATCCTTTGCTTTGTTTAATTTTTCCTTCTTTCTTGCCGAAAATCATATGAATTGTGATGGGAAATTTTGAATTGATTTTTCTGATATATTTAGGAAGCCTAATAATGAATGTGCTCCGAGCAGCGAGCGCGCAACTCTAGGACTCGCACGTGTTGGTTCTCGTGCTGCGCTCAGTTTTGCATTTGCTTTCCTGAGACGTGCCTGGAGGTCAGGAGAGGACCAGGTTGAGAAATATGCTTTTTTGAACAATTTTGAATGGATTAGTTGATTAATGTATTGATTGTATATTTCGGGTTGATTACGTTGGAGGAATTGGTTGATTGAATTTCTGTATACATATTGTTTACTAGTTGATTGATTGTAGGATCTGTGCTCTGAGCTCCTTTATGAGTCCCTGGATGCGTTGAGATCTCTACCTGAAGCCAGCCTGTTCCAAACTGACTCCGTGTCGAGGGTTTGGTTAGAAGTGGTGGATAGAGCGGATTCATTCCTTAAACAGGTAAACTAACTCCAGGGTTTGGTTAGAGCTTAGGGATAGGACGGATTCATTCCTTAAACAGGTAAACTAACTCCAACTCTAATGCTGCTCAGACCATGTGTTTATATTCCTTCCAGAAACTAAAGTATAATGATATTCCCATATTCCTGGTGTAATCCTTAGATAAATCTGCATCTTTTGTCAAAGAGTTAAATAAAAACAAATAATTGACTTTTCGTTAATTTTGAATTTGTGGAACAGTAACACCAGGGGGACTCAGAACCACCGGTAGGAGTTTAATCATTTAATTTATTGATCTATTATATGATTGATTGATTTATTGGTGAAGTCAGAAGTAGTTTATCAATAGATTGAGTGATTGAGTGATTGATGATACGGCTAAAGGGTATTTGTTGATTGATGGAGGGATTGACTTACCAATCAACTGATTGTTGAGGAAATGAATAATTGATAATCGATGGATTGGTTGAATTATGAATAATTTATTATGAAGTAATTGACAAGTTTATGAACGACTTATTGGCAGTTTTATAATGGGGCAAACATTATCCAGGCTTTCTTAATCGCTGAACTTAACATTTTTTTAGGTTTTGTACATTTAAGATTTTAGAAACCATTGTATAGAGGAGTGATAATATTTTTGATTTTTTACATTGGCATTATAAGGTAGGTTGAATTTCTGTTATACTCAACACTTCTTCATGTTTAGGAATGATGTAACAAGTAATTCAGCGCCTCTTCTACCTGTCCTAAACCGGTTCAAGGCCATTAAACAAAACAAATGTTTTGAGGTGAGTCTGTTTTTTTGGATTGTGTTCTTTCCGTGCTAATTTTCAATCCTTTTAACATTTAATGGTTTTAGTTAAAAGGGACTGTGGACATTATTTGAAGTATGATTTTTAACGTTACCCTTTTAGGCTTTGTCTGATAAAGCATGAATGAGAGTAAATTTCTCATCAACAATTTTATTATTTTCAATTGTGATTTCTCTTTACAAGTGAAATGCAGATTTCTCGCTTAAAAAACAATTAAGGAAATTGTTAGACCGAACAGTTCCAAGCTAAAAAATGACGAAATCTTCGAAATTTCGATAAAGGGTTTTTATCTTTTACATGTTTCAGTGCTCTAACTGGAATCATGATGAACTAAAGAGATATAATCCATGTTTCAGGACTCTAATTGGAACCATGATGAACTAGAGAGTTACAATCCATGTTTCAGGACTCTTAACTGGAATCATGATGAACTAGATCCTTATGTTCAGGACTTATTTGAATCATGATGAACTAGAAAGATATAATCCTTGTGTTCATAACTCTAACTGGAACTATGATGAACTAGAGAGTTATAATCCATGTTTCAGGGCTTTAACTGGAATCATGATGAGCTAGAGAGATATAATCCCTGTGTTCAGGGTTCTAACTGGAACCATGATGATATAGAGAGTTATAATCCATGTTTCAGGGCTCAACTGGAACCATGATGATTTAGAGAGATATAATGCTCGTGTTCAGAGCTCTAACTTGAACCATGATGAACTAGAGAGTTATAATCCATGTTTCAGGACTCTAATTGGAACCATGATGCATTGTAGAGTTATAATCCATGTTTCAGGACTCTAGCTGGAACCATGATGAACTAGAGAGTTATAATCCATGTTTCAGGGCTCTAACCGGAACCATGATGCACTAGAGAGTTATAATCCATGTTTCAGGACTCTAACTGGAACCATGATGCACTAGAGAGTTATAATCCATGTTTCAGGGCTCAACTGGAACCATGATAAACTAGAGAGATATAATCCATGTTTCAGGGCTCAACTGGAACCATGATGAACTAGAGAGTTATAATCCATGTTTCAGGACTCTAACTGGAATCATGATGAATTAGAGAGTTATAATCCCTGTGTTCAGAGCTCTAACTGGAACCATGATGAACTAAAGAGTTATAATCCATGTTTCAGGACTCTAATTGGAACCATGATGATTTAAAGAGATATAATGCTAGTGTTCAGAGCTCTAACTGGAACCATGATGCACTAGAGAGTTATAATCCATGTTGCAGGACTCTAATTGGAACCATGATGCACTAGAGAATTATAATCCATGTTTCAGGGCTCTAACCGGAACCATGATGAACTAGAGAGTTATAATCCATGTTTCAGGACTCTAACTGGAATCATGAAGAACTAAAGAGACCTTATGTTCAGGCCTTGAACTAGAACCATGATGAACTAGAGAGTTATAATCCATGTTTCAGGACTCTAACTGCAATCATGATGAACTAGAGAGATATAATCCATGTTTCAGGACTCTAACTGGAATCATTATGAACTAGAGAGTTATAACCCATGTTTCAGGGCTCTAACTGGAATCATTATGAACTAGAGAGATATAATCCATGTTTCAGGACTCTAGCTGGAATCATTATGAACTAGAGAGTTATAATCCCTGTGTTCAGGGCTCTAACTGGAACCATGTTGAACTAGAGAGTTATAATCCTTGTGTTCAGGGCTCTAGCTGGAACCATGATGAATCAGAGAGATATAATCCTTATGTTCAGGACTTGAACTTGAACTATGATGATCTAGAGAAATATAATCCTTCTGTTCAGGACTCGAGCTGGAACCATGATGATCTAGAGAGATATAATCCTTGTGTTCAGGACCTGAACTTGAACCATGATGAGCTAGAGAGATATAATCCTTGTGTTCAGGGCTCTATCTGGAACCATGATGATCTAGAGAGATATAATCCTTGTGTTCAGGGCTCTAACTGGAACCATGATGAACTAGAGAGATATAATCCTGATGTTCAGGGCTATAGCTGGAATAATTATGAACTAGAGAGATATAATCCTTGTGTTCAGGGCTCTAGCTGAAACCATGATGATCTAGAGAGATATAATCCTTGTGTTCAGGGCTCTAGCTGGAACCATGATGATCTAGAGAGATATAATCCTTGTGTTCAGGGCTCTAGCTGGAATCATGATGAACCAGAGAGATATAATCCTTGCGAAACATTTCTACAATATCTAGATTATCCACAGGATGAAACCAGGTAACTAATTTTACCCTCTCCCCTTCCCCATCAACATCCCCCTTCCCCCCAGGCTCCCACCCGATCGGTATTAACTTTTATAAAATCAGAATTCAACCGTCGTGTTGATGTTTTTCAAAACCAACATGAAACATCCGGATCCAGGAAGCCAAAATCCGGATCCGGATCCTAAGCAGTGCTATAGAGTCTGAACGCTGTAAAAAGTTATGCATCAATATTCGAGACCTTGTCGTATTGTAAGTGTTGCAAAGCATTGGCCTTTGGCATTTAATTCTGGTGGTGTACCAATCCCCATATAAACTTTTAATTAATTATTCTTTATTCTAGGAATATTGATTTGAAACTGGCAGCTGTGACATTGATGTGTGAACTGGATCGTTTAGCTCGACCTCTAGCCCCACCCCTTCCATCCTCATCTTCATCCTCATCCTCCTCATCCTCATCCTCATCCTCTTCTGGGAAACAAGAGATTGGATATTGGGGACCCGGTAAGTTTATGTTTTATTTTTTCATTTGTTGATCATTAACTTTTTTTGACGTTTTTTACTCTTAGGGGGTTGTCATGCACTGGTTATGTTGACATTAGATTTAACAATTTACTCTTTAAATGTTACTCTTAAAAATAAAGATTATTTTAAATTAGTTTGATAATAGTTTGAATTAGTTTTATGAGTTCATTCAATAACAAATTATGTTATTGAATCGGAGCTCTGAGCATTAAAAAATCCAATAATCAAAACTATTATTTAGGACGAATTGAAACTGAGCTAGAAGGAATAGGCGTTAAATCAGTTGTTCTTCTTGACAAACTTGTATACGCAGTTACAGGAGAAGGTAGGTTCTACTCCAGGTTGGGTTAGGATTGTGTTTTACGCAGGATTGGAAGCGAGAACGGAAAGGTTTCCAGGTTGGGTTCGAAGAAAGGATAGGAGTGTGTTTTACTCCGGGTTGGGTTAAGAGAAAGGATAGGATTGTGTTTTACTTTGTGTTGGGGGAGAGACTAGAAATGATTTCCTCCAGGTTGGATTACATTTTTTGATAGGTTTTACTCCATGTTGAGATCAGAGTTAAGATACAATTGTGTTTTACATAATACAAAGTTAGGAACTGATAGTATTTATTCTCCAAGTTGAGTTACATGATTAGGATAGTAGTTCGATAAAATTACTGCAAAGTTTAATAATCTCAAACTTAAACATAACGAAGTTTTAAAATGTTTGAAGAATTGTTAAAAGTAAAAATAAAATCGAACTATAACAATAAATAACAACAGCTTGAAGTCGCTGAAGGGTCGATTGCGTTATCAACTTAATACCGACTAATATTTCAAACTAAAATTGAAAATCAAAATCGTGAAATTGTTTTTTTTTTTTTTTCAGGCCGAATAATAGTTTTGAACGTTAATACGCCAGGGAAAGAAGTAGAATCGATAAATACAAGGCACGACGCAGAAATTGTTCAATCTTATTCATTCATAATCAAGTGATGATATAATTGCAGTTGTATTGTTATCAATTATCAACCCTTTTTCCCCTGAATGATGGGTCGCCTTTCAATGATATTAATAACCATCTATGGGAAATTTTGAATTGATTTGAAACATTCTGCGGCGTGAAGGAGTATGGATGAGCGGAAAACCAAGGTTGTGAATATAACCGCAGCGTGTGACGGAAAACATTTTTTGCTGTTAACAGAGCACGGAGAGGTACAATTAAAATTAAACATTTCTTCATTTTTAAATCATATAAAATTCCTAATGTTCAGATAAACACCCCCTCACTCTTTACCACCTAGTATGGACAACATTGTTATGAATTTTCATCACGGGGGAAAAATACAAAATATTTTGTAAATATTTTACAACTGTTTATCTCTGAGTGTGCTGTCTAAACCGGATTTCTTTTATTTTTGTGAAAGAATCTGAAAAGTTACTTAATTCTCCAATTGTAAATGTACACCCGACTTTGATTTTTTTTATCTTAAGTTACTTAACCCGGCCCTTGGGCGGTCTGGGTCTCCCATATTGGGGGGGGGGGGGGTTTAGATTTATCTCTTTATCTTTATATAAAGTTGTAATCTCTGTTTGTCTGTTTGTTTGTTTGTTTTTCCGATCATAACNATTTTGATTTTGATTTTGATTTTGATTTTGATTTTGATTTTGATTTTGATTTTGATTTTGATTTTGATTTTGATTTTGATTTTGATTTTGATTTTGATTTTGATTTTGATTTTGATTTTGATTTTGATTTTGATTTTGATTTTGATTTTGATTTTGATTTTGATTTTGATTTTGATTTTGATTTTGATTTTGATTTTGATTTTGATTTTGATTTTGATTTTGATTTTGATTTTGATTTTGATTTTGATTTTGATTTTGATTTTGATTTTGATTTTGATTTTGATTTTGATTTTGATTTTGATTTTGATTTTGATTTTGATTTTGATTTTGATTTTGATTTTGATTTTGATTTTGATTTTGATTTTGATTTTGATTTTGATTTTGATTATTATTTTGATTATTATTTTTTTATTATAGGAAGGAGAGCTTTATACATGGGGTAAAGGCAACTATGGAAGACTGGGACATGGAACAGTTGATGACTGTCTTGTACCAACTCTAGTATCCGCCCTGGCTGCCCATAGGGTTGTTGATGTAGCATGTGGGACAGGTACATGTTTCATCTTCACAATAGTTCAAGGGTTTATCTAGAGATTTTAAAACTTCGTTTTGTGTAAGATTTTTATGGACTATTTATGGCAGATTCGATAAACTTGACTACTACTTGTGACACGATTTATGGACTTAGCTACCATTTGTGACGAGTTATGGACTTAGCTACAATTTGTAGCAGATTTGATGGACCTATGTTTTCTTGATGACAGACTTTTTAATTCATTTCTTATTGAATTATCTTATTTATTTTTCATTGGCTGATTCATAAATCAAGACTGTTTTTATTTATACCATTTCAACTATCAAACCGCTTCAAAGTCAATAGTAAGTGGTCAATGATCATCTTTTATTAAGTGTTTTAGAAGGTTTCTTCCCACTTTCCCGTGCAATTTTATATTTATTTTCCATCTTTAGTTTACATTTAAACAAATCACAGAACGACGGGAAAATACTTTTTTTAAAGGCTAGGGAGATTACTTTATAGGGAGAAAAGACCTCTGAAGATACGTGACACAATAAGGTTGTTAGGAATCATGGACAATGATAAAAAATATCAGCCTAGTGGGGTCTTGTCTTCTATTTAAAGAGACTGTAGACGATATTTTAAGCGAGTCTCCATTCATAGAGTGACATGCCCGATTGATAACGGTTTACTGAAAACTTTTATCTGATTAATAATGTTAACTGATTTAGTCATATTTTAGCTTAAAGTGTTTAGTTATAAACGTTTCCTTTTTCTTTTTCAGACAAAGCTTTAAAAGAATTGTTGGGAATAGGTCATGGCACCTTATAAATGAAGAATTATTTGGAAATTCGTCATTTACGTTGTATAAATTTTTATCTAGGAGATGCTCAGACCCTAGCTCTAACCAGTGAGGGAGTAGTTTACTCCTGGGGAGATGGAGACTATGGGAAGCTAGGTCGGGGAGGAAGTGATGGTTCAGGAATTCCCAGGTTACTTCTTCATTTCATTCTACATTCTTAACCTTCCCACCCCCAATCTAACTTACTCGTTTTATTCTACTTTTAAGGTACTCGTATCTTTTACAACAACATTTAAAATCATTTTTGAAAGAAAAGGAAACCAGTTATTTAGAGGGAGGGGTCTTTCTTTAAATATATTTTTTGTTTAACGAAAAAAAAACTTGGATTTTCATTTTCACTTTATGTTTCCGTGTAATTTTCAAGATTTCTAAGAAGCTGTTAAAATTTCCCCAAATCTTTTTATATAAATGGGGAAAATTACCGAATAAATAAAATTTAAAATTTTCGTTCAAATTGCTCACTTTAGGCAATAGTTTTAAAAGAAATGCATCAAAAATTATTATTTAACGTTTTAATTGAATTGTTTTCTATTCTGCAGGATGGTAGATAGATTGATGGATCTGGGTGTAACCAAGGTATATTGTGGATCTCAGTTCTCTGCTGCTCTAACCAGCTCCGGGAAGGTTTACACCTGGGGAAAGGGTGACAACTTCAGGTTAGGACACGGTTCCGAAGATCATGTCAGGTTTCCTAAACTGGTCGAAAACCTCGGTAGCGACATCGTGGATCTATCAGTCGGGTGCATGCATGTGGTTGCAGTTAGTAAGGAAGGGAAACTTTATGGTTGGGGGAAGAATGATATGTCCCAGCTGGGATACCTTAATAACTCCGTCCCAACCCCAACCATTCTCTCCAACCTTAATACTAACTACGTGAGTATAGTTTGTGGAGCTAACAACACCATAGCCTGGACCAATCTAGACTCATGGTCTGTTCCTCTTCGTGCACCATTCGTCATTGATATCAGTGAGGAAACATTCCGTTGGTTGGATTCTCTGCTAGCTGAGATCTGGGAGGGTTTGGATGGAAAATCAGGAATACCTCCACGACAAGAGGAGGAGTGTCTGGCCTGCGCTTCTCTTAGTATACTTAAACTACAAATGTTGGCTGTGCGACATCACAACACAAACCTGGCTGGGTTGGGTTTAAAACAGGGTTCCGCCCTGCTCTCCTCTCTCAAGAAGAAGGTGGTTGAGTTGGCCAGTAACTCTGGGGTCCTGGAGACTATACAGTTCGAGGCTCAGCAGGTGCTGGAAGCATCTTGGATGATTCTTCTTCCCACAGCAGATGAGAGAGCCAGAGCTTTATCTACTTTGCTCCCTAGTCAGAACACTGAGACGGCTGGGCAATCAGTCGGCAGGAAGTTTATGACCGATTTACTTGTTTCTAGTCTCATGGCTGATGGAGGATTAAGAACAGCGCTTCGTGGAGCAATTAGAATGGAGGTGAAGGAGCTGGAAGAGGTTTCGGAAAAGGAAGGAAGTGACGGCACTAAAGATAAACCTTTTGGAGATGAACTTATGACGGAGCAGGCACAACTGGAGTCGGAAACAAAGCGTGCTGCTGAAGCTTCTACTTGGGAAGATCGTTCCTCCACTATCCCTCTTCTCTACCTCGTTAAACAACTGATGAAGAACTCCTCTGCCCAGGCGCTGTCCAAGCTGCAGGCACTCAACATGGACCTCATCTCATCCTCAATCTCCGAGGATATACTAGACTCTCAGAAAACTGAAAGCTCTCCAAGTCTCAAACTCCTGATCAAGTTCCAGAGGTTGTTAGTTGCTGAACTCTACTCCTCCGGTCCTGATAACTCCGGGGATGGAGAACAGGAGCTGGACGGAGTTCTAGCTTTACTCCGGAAATATCTTCATTATCTCTGCTGTCACGTTCTTGAACTGTTACCAACAGCAACAGCTACTAGTTCCCTGAGTCAGCGTCATTTCCTGGCTGTATCAAGTATCCTGGATCATGATCTGGTTGGGGTTCTTCTCCCAGAGCTGGTTATCTCTCTCATCCTTCTTCAAATAGAGAAATCGAGTATTTTCAATAAGATTGAAATCATCCCAGGGCTCACATGTCTCATGGAATCTTTAGGTAAGATGAATTTGATTTTAAGCTTTGATTCCAAATCTTAATCTCCTTTTTTTCATTGAATATTTTTCCTCCTTAATGTCTTGCTTACATTTCTTACACTTCTTAAGTAATTAATGCTTATTTTGATCAAATTTTATGATAGAAAAGTTTTATCAGAAATATAGAATTATACCGCACTCCCCCCTCCCTTCAATATCCCCAATGAAAATAGTGTAAAATGTAACCGTAAAGTTTTTTTAAAAATGACCTATTCATTATTTTTTTTTTCGTTTTTCATTTAAAGATTATGCAAGTGTCTCTTATTTTTATAATTTATGTCTCCCTGGATCTAAACGTCGGGAGATATTTTATATATTTTGAAAAAAAAATCCTCGCTCTTGGAGGGAAGGGTAGGTTATATGATTGTACAGATAGGACCAGAAAACTGTGGAATAGGAAGACGACATTAAAGCAATTCTAGTGTATTTGATGTTGTTACAAATCAAATCGTTTTATGATCAAGTTATTTTTTCATTTTTCAAGTAAAATAGGCCTGTTTACACTGCACAATGCTGTGTTTCATGTTCATTGGACTGTTTAAAGTCATAACTTGAGTCTTCTTATTCCAGAATTTTCTAGTTCTAACTGCAAGAAAAATGAAAAATAAGACAAAAATCGGCATTCCCCCCCCCCCCTCCCCTTTTACTGATACCCAAAATTAAAATACCGTCCCTTAAAAATTATTAAAAATCCCTGGTTTAGCCAACTTTTTTTCAGACAAGTTTAACCGGAAGGCCCCTGGTTATGATAAAGAAGAATGTGATGACCTGGCCTGGCAGGGTCTCTCTACCGGTCAACTCTCCCCTCGACCTGAAGATACAACCCTGATACGGAAACCAGACCTTGAGAATCATAACAAGGCAGAGATCATGATGATTTAGAAATAATATTCTCGAACATAATTTTCCAAATTTCAGATATCTGATTTAATTACAGTGAGACCCGTAAAATTGTGGAATAGAATGACGACTGGTAGACTCTAGTTTTGATTTTAGATACAGGGTTACCAACAACAGATGAGACTGTAAAGATGACCTGATACTGATGACTATCCCAAGTTTATATTAAGTCTTCTGTCTTCATTGTAGTTTTTCAATTGCTTATGCAATAATTTAGCGCAGAAAGAAATGTTACAGAATCTGACAAGGAAACAGACAGTATAAATTCCGTACAGTCGTCTCTGAAGTCTCATCCTGTGTGGGTAACCTTTTAGTCCAATGAATATGATTCACAGCAATTGTGGGGTTCATTGAACTAGTTGACTTTCAAGCAACTGGTAAAACATTTTGCATTTTAACAACATCAATTATTCAAAATGTTGGTTCAATGTTGTTTTTCTAATCCATGCCTTTATGGGTCCCACATTTCCATTTTGATCTTTAACAACTGTCTGGCAAGTTATTATTACAATTTCAATTTTTGATTTTTGATTGATATTTTATAATATATTTTTATTTGATCATTTTGTTCAAGTGAAAATATTTTGCCTTAAAGGTTTATTAAGCATTGTGAATTCTGTATCCAGGACGGTGGCCTATGGGTTGTTATAAACGGTAAGGTTTATGATATCCAGGATTGGAAAGGACAAGCTCCTTGTGGAGCTGAATATTTGCAACAGTTCTCCACCCTTGATGCAACTCAGCAGTTCCAGATGGTCAATCATTCAAAGCACGCTCTCAACATGATGAACTCATATCTTATCGGTAATTTGATCATCCCTGAACTGGAGTCTAGCTCCGGGTTCGATGTTTCCACCTTCTCCTCCCCGTTTATGGACCTAGAGAGAAACATTGCTACATTCCTTGGGTTGCATTGTAACCGTCTTGTTTCCAGTATTCCGGAGCAACCCGAGGAAAAACTGTCTTCCACCTTTCTCAAGCAGGATTTCCTCAAGGGAGGAATCCACGCAATCTTTACACCAAATCCGTTCGATGACGAGAAGGGCGAAACGCACAGTTTGAGCTCGGCGGCCGTGACTCCCCTCTCAGGGGTAACGCCCACTGAGCCACGCCCAGCTGAAAACCAGATCTCAGGATATGATTCCGAGTTGAGTCCCGAGTTTCTCATCAAATGTCTTATGGAGAGCAGTACGAACAATCAGTATTTGCGAATTTTTCTCTCTCTTCTGGACCGATTGTCCCGGAAGCACGTGATGCCGATGCACATGGACTTCCCTTCCGATCATCCTGTAGAGGAGGTGGGGCGACATCTTCTAGCAGTGCTACTTAAACATCAGGAATATTATTCAAAGCCAATAAGCGTTATGAAAGGATAAAGAAAATGAATTAAATCAATCCCTAAGTCCCTAGTTTCACAATACAAAATTGCTCACATCTGGTTTTATAAGAATTTATATTTCAAAAAAAAATACTTTAAAAAAATCAAATTATGTGCATATGTCAACTGATAAATATTGATTAATTAATTTTCGAAAAGTCCTTATCTGTCTGCAGCCGATAAAAGTTAGAATCGTGTACAGTAGGATCTCCTTAAAACCATGATTTGATTTGATTTGATTCACGCAAAAAAGATCAAATATAAAATAAATAATTATTAATCACAAGATTTAAGACCATATCTCATTCTTGGTTTAGTAATTTAATTTAATTTGTTCAGGAAAGTCGTTAAAAGATAAACCAAGAATTACTGAGGATTCCACGTCAGATTGACTGGAATTCTTCAATTTATCACCTGTATTAATAGATTAATAGGTGAATCAACCTGAACAATAGTTCCTCAGATCCTTACACTGTGTTATTTTGAATTTTGAATAATACTAATGATCAGGGGTTAGCGGAAGTATCTGTTGTAATGATAAAAAATGAAATAGATAATCCTGGAGAACTCTCTAAACTGATAAATCCTCTGGAGGAATGCGTCAGGTGAACAATTCACCTCTCAAAAATTATTTTATAGAACTTTTTTTTTATTCTGTGGATTTTGGCCTTGGCTATTAGCTTCCATTGGTGAAAAAAAGACCGAAAATGTTTTTTAAAATATTGCTGGGCAATGTTAGAAATTATTTTAAAATTCTAAAATTTCATATTTTAGCTTGTTATAGTCTAATGTTTCGTAAGAAATGTGTCGCACGACGCAAACCCATTTCTAAAGATTTTGATTGATATGCTTTCCTATGACCACAAGAATTATGATAAACGCTACAAATCTTAAGACAAAAATTAACACCAGATTAATAAAATCACCCCAAAAAGCTGAAAAGTTAAAATTTGAAATTTTTGTAAATTTAGAGCTACGCAACAGACTAAGTGGAAACTAATCCGTGCTCGTCAAGAGCAGGTTAAATCCTATAAAGAGGTGTGTGCCCCGGTTCTAGAGAGATGCAGGTCAGCTTATTTGACACAAATACTCTTTAAAACAATGTTTATTTATCCCTGATCATTCGAAAAAAATAATTTGTTGGAATATAGAAGAATTTTTGACGTGCTAAAGAGGGTTAAAATAGTTTGGACAGTTTTGGCATTTCGTCCGAACCGAATTTTTAAAAATTTCAGGTTTTTTGGCGGTTATATTTAACTCGAATTTGTATTCTTTACAAGTTTTTTTTGAAAATGTTGTCTCTGACAGAAATTTTAATTATGAACGTTGCAAAGCCAATCGTTCATTAACGAAAGGTTCAGGCTCGTAGCTTCTGCCAGATCCTTTGATGTTGTGACAAAAGTAAACTTTTTAAATCATAAATTATCTTTAACTTCTTAAATTTTGTTGTACGTCTGGAAATGATATTCTGTAAAAATGTTGTGAGCATATACTCAAAATTAAGTCAGTTAAAAGGTACACAATTTTTTGCATCATTTTATGATATTAAGAAGGAAAGGTGATGACAGTTATTTGAATATGTTTATGGTTACCACTGTAAATATTTAAATATTTGAATATGTTTATGGTTAGATACTATACAAGGAATCCATGTTTTAAGATACTGTACAAGGAATCCATATTTAGGATTCTGTACAAGGAATCCATATTTAGGATTCTGTACAAGCAATCCATATTTAGGATTCTGTACAAGGAATCCATATTTAGGATACTGTACAAGGAATCCATATTTAGGATTCTGTACAAGGAATCCATGTTTAGGATACTATACAAGGAATCTATGTTTAGGATACTATACAAGGAATCCATATTTAGGATACTATACAAGGAATCCATGTTTAGCATACTGTACAAGGAATCCATGTTTAGGATATTGTACAAGGAATCCATGTTTAGGATACTGTACAAGGAATCTATGTTAAGGATACTGTACAAGGAATCCATATTTAGGATACTGTACAAGAAATATATGTTTAGAATACTGTACAAGGAATATATGTTTAGGATACTGTACAAGGAATCCATATTTATGATACTGTACAAAGAATATATGTCTAGGATACTGTACTAAGAATCCATATTTAGGATACTGTACAAGGAATATATGTTTAGAATACTGTACAAGGAATATATGTTTAAGATACTGTACAAGGAATATATGTTCATGATACTGTACAAGGAATCCATATTTAGGATACTGTACAAGGAATCCATATTTAGGATACTGTACAAGGAATCCATGTTTAGGATACTGTACAAGGAATCCATGTTTAGGATACTGTACATGGAATCCATGTTTTGGATACTGTACAAGGAATCCATGTTTAGGATACTGTACAAGGAATTCATGTTTAGGATACTATACAAGGAATCCTTGTTTAGGATACTGTACAAGGAATCTTTGTTTAGGATACTGTACAAGGAATCCCGGTTTCGATCCCTTGTCCGCTCCGTGATCCAGCAGAGGAGAGAGAAAACCCTTCCTTTTATGAGCAGACCTGAGGATATACTTAATGTTAGCATTCAAAGCCAGGTCTGTTTTCTGGATTCGTCCTAAAAATATCTTGAATTTTGTGTGATTACTTAACAAAAATAAGATATCCAAAAAGCAGTGGGACCCGTAAATATTGTGGAATAGGAAGGCGACTGTCAAATTGGTTTGTGTACACTCCACACTAGATGTGTTTCATATTAATTGGAATATTTAGAATAATTAATTGATCTATTCCATAGTTGTATGGTTTCCACTGTATCTTCTATTGATTTCGCTGCTTTTATCTAGAATCTTTGATTTACAATTGAATAATAGAAAGGTTTTAACGATTTCTCTTTGGTTGTCACTAAAAAAGTTGTGTTTAACTATATCTCTTTGATTGACACTAAAAACGTTGTGTTCAATGATATCTCTTTGGTTGTCACTAAAAATGTTGTGTTTAACGATAGCTTTTTGGTTGACACTGAAAATGTTGTGTTAAACAATATCTCTTTGGTTGACACTAAAAATGTTGTGTTTAACGATATCTCATTGGTTGTCACTAAAAATGTTTTGTTTAACGATATCTCTTTGGTTGACACTAAAAATGTTGTGTTTAACGATATCTCTTTGGTTGTCACTAAAAATGTTGTGTTTAACGATATTTTTTGGTTGACACTAAAAATGTTGTGTTTAACAATATCTCTTTGGTTGACACTAAAAATGTTGCGTTTAATGATATCTCTTTGGTTGTCACTAAAAATGTTGTGTTTAACGATATCTCTTTGGTTGTCACTAAAAATGTTGTGTTTAACGATATCTCTTTGCGTTGTCACTTAAAATGTTGTGTTTAACGATATCTCGTTGGTTGACACTAAAAATGTTGTGTTAACAATATCTCGTTGGTTGACACTAAAAATGTTGTGTTTAACGATATCTCTTTGGTTGACACTGTTGTGTTTAACGATATCTCTTTGGTTGACACTAAAAAAGGTTGTGTTAAATGATATCTCTGGTTGACACAAAAACTTTTGTGTTAAACGATATATATTAAGTCTACATTAAAAATGTTGTGTTTAACGAGTGCAAGAAGAAGAGAGAAAATAAAATTATTTCTAGGATGTTTCGAGCTGTGAACCTGCGCATTTAGATGAGGATTGTTATAAACTAAAGGTATTAAGCTTTTTATTACCAGAACTTAGGATCTAGATCCGGAACATTTTGCTATGGATTCGGATCCAAATCCGCAAAAATATGTAGACCAATGAATCAAAATTCCATTGGTAAAATATCAACAAAGTATAAAGAACGTGAAGTGTTAAACCACTAAAAAATTTTAACCCATGATCTACACTGTCCCATAGACATATTTTGACTTTTAACCATATACCGGTTGGTCTTTTTGTCTCCCCCTATGATTTTGTCCTTAGAGTTGAGATAGGAGAGTGTGATACAATGTCCATAGTCCCTAGCAAATAGATTATCAAGTGCAGCAGATAAATGGATTAATTATACATGACGTCACAAGTGTCAAATATAAAAAGGAAAACGAAATTTTCTCATATTAGTTTACATGTTTTCATTGTTTACATTAAATAAAAAAGTGTAAAAGCAGAAAATTAGAACATACTTATTTTTCTGTAAAATAAGCTCTTTGTTCTAAAATTTTCACTGTTATTAATAATTTTGTCGGACACACAAACTGAGTTGACACTTGTGACGTCAGAATACAGCTGTACTGAGAGTGTACAAATTCTACGTTGGCATCTGTTGTACTAGAATCTATTTGGTCCCTAGTAAAAAAATTTAAACTTCTATCTTCAACGGTTAGGGTGCAAAGAAGGATTAAAAAAGTTCAAAAAGTACGCCGGAAAAATGTTCAAAAATAAATATTTTTACTTTTGACAAATATCAACATGTGACACATATTATTATACATCCATTTTCAAGGGCTTTTCAAATATATAAATCTTAGCCCTGTAGCGTAATTGATAAAAAAATATCAACCATTTTCTGATTTTTTCGAAACACCGACCCGTCGTTTGACTGTCCTCTTCCCTACCATATCCATAAAATATTTTTTTTGCATAATACAATTATGAAGTAGAAAAAGAAGTTCTAATGTCAGCCGTTTTTAAGTTATTTAGAAAAACACCACAAAGGGGGGGGGGGCTGAAAAACAAACCCCCCCACTCCGTGATAGGGTTATGGAATAGTATTTTAAAGGATATTTTGCAATTTTTGTAATGCATAGGATCAAACAAATTTAACCCTATTCCTGCCGGGGAGGGGGGGGAGGAGGCAATTTGAATTTTTTGCAGATTCTAAAAGTAGAGAATTAGAGCTTTCCCATGATGAATCATTTGTCATATTTGGACATAAATTTGCATTTTTTTGCAGATTCTAAAAGTAGAGAATTAGAGCTTTCCCATGATGAATCATTTGTCATATTTGGACATTAAACATGAAATTTAGAGTGAGGGGGTCAACTAGACCCCCCTCCCCCCATTCCCAGTGTGTCCTGGTTTTCAAGTTCCCCAGCAGGGATAGGGTAAGATAGCCCATAAACTTTTGTTATTTAAGCTACTGAGTACAGATCTAAGAATTACATTTTTGAATAGCCCTTGAAAATGGATTAAAAAATAGTTGCCTCTACAGGGTTAACATAAAGTGTTCAAAACGGAGCTTTTTAAATGAGTACCGCTTTTTTAGGGGGGTTAACAACGACCACTAGGGAGTGAACCAAAAAAAATTCAGTTCACCTCCCAAGGCTAAACATCCACTACGCCCTTGCTCTCGATGGTAGTAATCAATAAATTTTAGCATATTGATAAAAATAATGTATTTTACTCAATATATTTTCGTTTTGTATAAATGCGTAAATATTTTATTTTTTTACGTTTTATACATTTTTCTATTTGCAATTTTCAAAAACATTAAAAATTGAGACGAATTTTAAAAACGAGTTTAAAAATTACTAAAATTACAGTTGTCTCCAAAGATTAATCTGCTCGGGTATCCCTGTACAACTAGGTTTTTTACCGTGTTCTTTTTTATTCCGCTTTAACACTATGCATTGGGGCTTATTTGGTTATATGTTTAGGATCTAATGAACGAGGAACTACAGGGATCAATGGCATCAGAAGCTGTTGCGTTGCTCTCTAGTCCAGTTGATGGATCAACTGACATCTCCAGAGACAACCTCCGTAGCTCTAGAGATAACCTCCGAACATCTAAAGATAACCTCCGCGGCTCTAGGGATAACCTTAACAGCTTAAGGTGTTCAACCGATAACCTGTTAGGGTCGAAAGGTTCTAAAAATAACCTTGGAGGCTCAAAGGATAACTTAAGCTGTGTGAAAAGTGAACTGGGTTCCAAAGAAGGCCTTGATGTAGCCTCTGAGGATGCTCCAGGTGGAATTCTTATTTTTGTAATCCTCTATTTTTCTTGATTTTGTTTTTGTTTAAATGAGCATTAAATGGTTATTTACAGAATAATACTTAATTGTATAGTTAAGTATCTTACAGAACAGTACCGTACAGTAACGTAAAGTAACGTATAGTAACGTAAGGAGAAGGTTAATGTGGAGATAGTTGAGGAGAAAGGAGAGGAATCTGGAGAGAAGGGAAAGAAGGTTGGGAAGGAGGGGGAAGGGGAGGGCAGAAAGGATGGAAGGTTTAGAGAAACTCATGATAATGATGCTAGTAAAAACGATGAACTTGAAGATAAGGTGAGGAAAAGATTTTTTTTAAATTAGGCATTTGTCGGTCAATACTTTTTTCTTTGGCTGATCAAAAAGTTTATAAATATTTAGCGCACACTTTTTATTTAGTTTGTTATCTTTTAAGTTTGGGGGATGGGGGGTGTAACCTTATTTTTGGATTGAATTCTTAAGTCTTTGATCATTATTTTGACTTTCATGTTTGAGGAGAGCGAAGATGAGAAGGAGGAGGTAGACGACGAGGCCAAGGATGAGGACAGCAAGAAGTTTGACCTGGAGGATCCTACTGCAAAGCTCAGTGAGGATGATCTGGCGGATTTTGAGGACGAGGAAAAGGATGAAAAGAGGAACGAAGCGGAGAATGATAGAGATCAGATAAAAGACGGATTTACAGAGAAAAAGAAGGAAGCGGAGGAGGAGTTGGATGAGATGAAGATGAGTATGCTAGAGAAGGAAAACAACGAGGAAGGGGAAAGGGGAGAAGAGAAGAAAGCAATTGAAGAAGAGGGAGAGAAAGAGGTTTCAGAAGAATGTTGTAAAGAAAAAGAAGAATCTGAAGATGATGAAGATGATAAAGAAGATTTCGATGAAGAGGGAAAGGACAAGATTAAAGATGAAAAAGATGTCGACACTCAAGTGAGCATATTTTTCTTTCAACTGCAGAATTTGAATTATTTTTATCAGATTTAATTCCAGTTTTTCCGAAAAATACAAAAATTAAAATGGGGTTTCAGATTCTTCAAAATTTATCTTATTTCTGTCTTTTGGGGGTTTACACACACACCCATTTTTCAGTTTTTGTTTTAGATTCAAATAAAACCAAATTAACATTAATTTATAAAATCACAAATGAGGGATGAGTTTTTTTTTACATAATTGTATTCCTCTGAAAATATACTGAAATTGATTTTGTTCAGGATCAACTGAGTTCTCTCTCTAGCAGCCCTGAACTTAATCCTAGAGAGTTAAAGCGTCCTACGAGCCTGGTGGAGCCGGTTAAGGAGAAGGAGAAGGACCAGGACGGATTCTCCAGCATTATAACCTCGCAGATTATTGAATTTATCTGTGACGAGCAGGGGATTCATATTGATGTAATAAGGCAAGTTTTTAATTCAATCTCTTTCACAAAATATTTAAGTATTGTTTCCTAATAAATTGATCGTTTAGTACAATGGTAGGCAATAAATCAATACAATTAAATCAAAGCAATGAAAAAGAAGCTCTTAATTGGCACTGACAGCTCCTCTTTGTTTCCATTTTTATGTGTATGCATGCTGTTTAAAAGCTTGATATAAATCAATTTTTTTGTATTGATATATGCGAAGGCGACAACTGTATAATTTTTAGAGAACATTTTTTTATCTAATTCAATAATAATATTTATGCAGGAAGTGCATGATCACCCAGGCGGAGAGGTTCAAGGTGCGGAGTAAAGGGATAAAGGAGATGGTTGAACTCCTTCAAAGGGCTCAGCTCATCCCCTCCGCCAAGTACTCCCTGCTCAACAGCTGGCAGGGGATTCTCCACCATGTAATCGGAACTGGTACAAACCCTCTCCCACACTGCCTCCAGGGGATAGAGATGATTCCTCCATATGAAAAGGTTCAAATTCTCCAGGATTATTCCAAGATACTAAACTGGACTCTTAGTGAACTACGGGATCTTGTGCACAAAGCGGAAGCGCAGATGCGCGGCAAAATCCCTCGTGGTGCGCGGATGAAGGAGAGTTTGAATCACCGTGATCAGAATGGGATTGGGACACTAACCTCCTCTAGGTTCATCCTGAGTATCTTGGGTATGCTTACTGCTCACCACTCAGGGCATGAGCTCAATATACTTCTCAACAGCCAGGCTATAGCACTGGTTCAAACTGTCATAAGGAAAAGTTTTAATATTAAAGAAATCTTCTGAAAATTATTTTAATTCCGTTTTAATCTTTCAGAAATGTTTTCAACGATTTAAGAAAAGCCAAAAATTTGGACTTTATTATAATGATTCTTCATTTTACAATTAACCATAAATTCACATTTAGCAGGCACTGAAATTGTTTGATTTTGAACTAGTTTCACATAAGCAACATATAAATGGTATTGTTAAAATTTTTTTTTTACTTTATGATGCCAGATTAAATCAATATTAAAATTCGCCCAGATTGATTGGTCCTGAATGTTACCTGAACCCTCACACTTATACCTACTCCAAGTCCCAACTGGAAATATTTTCAATATTTGAAGATATGATGACCAAATCCAAGAACAGTCATTCCTCCCTGAGTGGGGCGGAGCTGGCTAAACTTCTGAAGATCGGAACCCGGGTTGTGAGAGGTATAGACTGGAAATGGGGAAACCAGGACGGGAATGGAGAAGGAAGAGTTATCGGAGAGTTAGGAGAGGATGGTTGGATCAGGGTACAGTGGGATACTGGATCAACAAACTCCTACAGAATGGGAAAAGAAGGAAAGTATGATCTTAAGTTAATTGAACAACCTATGGCTAGTGATTCTGATTCAGAGTCAGATTCTGAGGATTGTGATCAGGTTGAGACAAGAATACCATCCACACAACCTTCAAAATTGATCAAACTTGCATGCTACAACATACTTCGATCCTTGTGTCTTGGGTCTGGGATTAATGCTGGCTCTATGCAAGAATCCTCATTGCTGAAGTGCTCTTCAATCCTCAGACAAATCCTTCAGCTTGGTTGCCAGAAAGTTAACAGTATTGGGGGAGAGCAATTGCTTCTTGCCAGGGACCAATACAGAAGCTGGGCAACTCTAGGATTTCTTCGAGCAATCTGTTCTGAACCTAACCTCTGTAAGATGATGTGCTCACCTGCATGGATCAACCTCTTCCTAAATATTGTTGAATGTAAAGAGTCAAGTTTAGAATCCAACCTTCAAACTCAAGTTCTTATCTTCCGTCTGATGGGAAGCGTTCTACCTCACTGTCCCGAGACTGTTGTTGAAAAGCACAATCTGATATGTCGACTCTTTAACTTAGTGGGACACACAGCTCTGATGTGTCGGACAGATGGGTCCCATTACGGAGATCAGGGTTTACTGCAGAAAGTGAAGAAAGGACGAGGAACCAGGGTATCGCTTTCTGCTCCGCACTCCAGTACCATTGTAGAGGAGTGTGTCCGGCTGCTCCGAACCCTGCACAGGATCCCTACCTGGAACACCAAGATCAATGAGTATATTTATCTCAAAATGAGTTTTGTTAATGAGATCATTACAGAGATACCCATCCTTCAGATGCAATTAAATGAGGGAGATGGAGAGAACTTTACAGCACAACAGTCATCTGTCATCTCCTGCTTATCTCTGATCGGAGGCTTTGATTCAAGACCAAGGATTGGAGGCAAAGTAATCCTTGATGATGGAAACACAGGGATAATATGCGGGATTAACTACCATGGAAAGATAATGATACAAAATAATGAAGGTCACCAGAAAAAGATTTCTATCTCCAGTGTGAACCCTGCACTTGAAGGATCTTTTGCACTGGATAAATTTTCAGTGAATGAAGAATCTCTACCAATATGGACTTCACTGTTCTTCCTTGCCTCTCAGGACTTCAAGATAGAGAAGGAAAAGTGGAAGATACTGACAGAAAACTCCGATAGTATCAATGTGGCTCTCTTGAGGCAGCAGCAGCAAAGGTTAGCAATACTTAAAGCAATCAAAGTTCTCTTCACACATCAGAACAGTTTAAGGCATGTTCTGAAGCAGATTGTTCTCTATGGATCTTCCTCTGTTGAGTCCTTTGAGGATACTGATGTTGATGACCTTAACAAGAAGGAAGTAATGCTGATCCAACGTCTCCTGGTTAAAGCCACCCAACCCTCTCCTGTCAAGGCCATGTATCTAGCTGAGGAGTTGGAATATGCTGCCCTGGCAGTCTGTCAATACTTAGCATCTGCTGCTGCAGCTAAACGAACTAATCTTGGATCCCCTGTCAGTCAACCTCCGTCAGAACCTTTCTTAGCTGAGGCTGACGGGGTTCCCCAAGAGACTAATCTTACCCTACAGCCTCCTGCAACCTCCTCTGTAACCTCTAAGGATCTGAAATCCTCTCGACGGATCCGAGTGAGAGGTTCAGCCCGGAGTTCCTCTCCACCTCCATCAGCCACTGTCCAGTCTCTCATAGATATGGGTTTCAGTAAACAAGCTGCAGAGATCGCAATCAAAGCATTGGGAGGGATTGGTGAGATGACTCCAAGTCCTGAGAGTATAGTGGGCTGGCTTCTAGAGAATCAGGATCAAGTGGTTGATCTGGACCCTGTAATACATTTAGGTAATTCTTAAAACTGCTTAATTTTGTGTAACATCAAGTGTGCTTATTTTGAATTTCAAATTTTATTAAGAATTTATATTTTTTCTCAGACCACATCCAAACCGGGTTTTATTTATGTTCTACTGAGTGTCAGGCTTGACCACAATTGTTATGATTAACGTTTTAGAAATTTCATTTAGCTTAAATATGACAAACATATCAAAATACATCACAAGATCTACAAATACAAAAATTAATTTTTTTTTTTAATCAAAATTGTTAAAATCCTTCATTTTTAATAAAGCCTAGCCATATTTAACCTTTTTTCAAATGTCTAATAAATTCCAAATTATTGATATCAAATGACAGTTTAGTATAATTGATATAATTAATGTAAAAAAAACTTTTTTGGGGCAATTTTAGTTTTGGCAATTTATTGCTAAAGAACTGGATTTCGCAAACAAATATGGATTTTTGCAAATTTGCAATTTTTTCCCGATTTATAAAGATAGAGACTAAGGGAATATGGGGGTTACAGGGACTCCTCAGGAACATTTTGGACAATGAAGACCTCAGTAGAATTGGGGTTTAGGAAGTTTTAGTAACAGCAAAGATTTACACTATTTCAATTATCAAAAAACTTGGGCCCAAGTTAACAAGTTTTGATTAGTGTTCATGTTTTAAATGATTTGTCAAAAAAAATTGAATATCAATATCTTTGCAACCTAATTTCATAGATATTTTAAACTATGAATTCTGTTAGATCAAATAATCTAAGTTTAAGATATCAAAGATTCACACAATCAGTTTGAAAAGATATAGGTATTCGAAATTTTTTTATAGACGGTGTAAATCTTTAATATTTCAAACTTAGGTTATTATAACAACAGAATTCTTAGGTTTAAATATCCATGAAATTAGGTTGCAAAGAAATAGGAGTTTTAAAAAAAGACTTGATTCCATTGTTACTAAAATTCCTAACCTGTATTTCTTCTGATTTTGCCCAAAATATTCCTGAGGGGTCCCTGTGACCCTGCTCCCCCTCTATATCCTTAGTTTAATACATATCTATAACTATTCATACACTTTTTGGAGGCTCTTGGACTCTACTTTAATAATCAGGAAAAATTGTAATTATGTCTAAAGTGTTTTTATATTTGTAATTCAATGTAATTTCAGCAATTTTGAATTCATTGCACATTTGAAAGAAAAATGTTAAATGTGTTGTAAATTTTTCATTTATTTTTTTATTTAGAATTTCTAAATAATATTTCATGTTTTCTAGATGTGGCTGAGGAGGAAGAGGAGTTCTCTGATACTGAATCAATCTCTGAGTCCTTTGAGGATATTGATGCAAGTGGTACTAGCGAGGGTCTCCTGGGAGCAGTCAGTATCCCACCGGAGATATTCAAGAGACGTCCTGACTTCTTATCCAATGATGAGTATGCGTACTATGTCAGGGATCATATTCAGACAGGAATGACAGTAAGATGCTGTCGGACCTATGAGGAGGTGCATGAAGGAGATATTGGTAGAGTTACAAAGCTTGACAGAGATGGACTTCATGATCTTAATGTTCAGATATCCTGGCAGAGGAAAGGAGGAACCTACTGGGTTCGATACATTCATGTTGAACTTCTCTCCCAACCTCTCTCCTTGAGTGGGGGTCAACCTATCAAGGTTGGGGATAGGGTCAGAGTCAAGGCTTGTGTAACAACCCCAAAGTACAAGTGGGGATCTGTAAACCATAGATCGATCGGTATTGTTTCCAGCATAAATCCTAACGGACGAGATGTGACAGTTGATTTCCCAATGCAGAGTAACTGGACAGGACTCATCACAGAAATGGAGGTTGTTCCAAGCTTCCATCCAAACATTGCCTGCATTGGATGCAATCTCAACCCAATTGCTGGGCCTAGGTTTAAATGTAAAACCTGTGAAAATTTTGATTTTTGTGAGAATTGCTTTTACAACAAGAACAATCATAAGCATAGCTTCAACAGGATAGCAGAGCCTGGCAGTGCTGCTGTGTTTGCTGGTCGACCTGGTAGGACAAGAAAGAGAGAGTTTACAACAACCCCTACAGGAGGGTTAGTAGAAGATTGGTCTGCCTGTGTTAAGGCTTTAACAGTATCCTCTAGAGAGAGCTGGGCTTACAGGCTCACTGAGAACAGTTCCAGTTACTGGCAGAGCTGTGGACCCCAGGGTCAGCATTGGATAAGGATTGAGATGCAGCCGGATGTAGCAATACAAACTCTGAAGATGGTGGTAGACCCCGCCGATTCAACTTATATGCCTTCCTTGGTTGTCATTTCCGGGGGAGATACCATAGCAACCCTGAAAGAAATTTGCTCCGTCAATGTTTTCAATATGGACACAGTTATTAACCTTCTCAGTAATGTAAAGGAATACCACAAGTACTTTGAGATTGCTATCAAGCAGTGCTCAAGTGGAGGAATAGATTGCAAAATCCATGGACTAAGAATTGTTGGACGAAGGAGGATTGAGGATGAAGAGTACTCATCTGCACTTTCCTTCCTAGCCTCGGATTCTGAGGAGGTGGAGGATAGCATGGCCTTGTATGGGAAGCACTATTCCAAATATTTTGGGAAAAAAGAGGAGCATCCCATAAAGGTGTTTGTCTGGGGACTAAATGATAAAGATCAACTGGGGGGACTGAAAGGATCAAAAATAAAACTTCCATTCTTCTCTGAGGTTCTCTCTGCGATCAATCCTGTATCTATAGCTGGAGGATCAAAATCTCTGTTCCTTGTCTCAAATGATGGAAAGGTTTTTGCATGTGGAGAAGGTACTAATGGAAGACTGGGTTTAGGACAGGTTGGAAACATCTCAATGCCGCGTCAACTCTGCGCTCTCTCCCAGTATGTTGTGAAGAAGGTTGCAGTGCATTCTGGCGGGAAACATGCAATGGCGCTGACAGTAGATGGAAGAGTATTTTCTTGGGGTGAGGGGGATGACGGAAAGCTTGGACATTGTTCCAAACTATCTGTAGAAAAACCTCGAATCATAGAAGCGCTAAGAAACAAAAGAGTTAGAGATATAGCCTGTGGTAGTTCTCACAGCGCTGCCATAACATCCAGCGGAGAGTTATACACATGGGGTTGTGGTGAGTACGGTCGTTTGGGACATGGAGATAATGTTACACAACTGCGTCCCAAGCAAGTGAAAGCATTGGTGGGACACCGAATAATTCAAGTTGCCTGTGGAAGTAGGGATGCCCAAACTTTAGCTCTGTCTGACGAAGGAATGGTTTTCAGTTGGGGTGATGGAGACTTTGGCAAGCTAGGTCGAGGTGGTAGTGAAGGTTGTGCTACTCCTGCTAACGTTGAGAAACTTAACGGAATGGGAATTACCCAGATCGAATGTGGAGCCCAGTTCTCCTTGGCCCTGTCTAAGTCTGGAGTGGTCTGGACCTGGGGTAAAGGGGACTATTTCCGACTGGGTCACAATGCTGACCAGCATGTGAGGAAACCAACTTTAGTTGAGAGCTTGAGAGGGAAGAAGATAATTCATGTTGCTGTCGGAGCTCTTCATTGTCTGGCAGTCACAGATTCAGGACAGGTAAAATCTATTCTTTTACATGTAATACAAAGATTTGTGTAAGAGTCTGTTTTGATTTTGTTTCATAAGGGTACAAGGTTTCAGAAAACTTTTTTCCAAAAATTTGCTCAAAAATATGTGTAACAAGAAATTCATTAAAAATCTTATTAAATAAAAAAAATCTCAGTAACATGTTTCTAAAATTATTGTTTAGGCCAAAAACCTAACATTTTTCCTTTGTGGGTAACACAGTAGGTCACCAAGTTTTTTTTTAAAAAGTCAAAAAATGAATGATCAATAGAATTGCCAACTGCAATTACCAAAACACATTTTTTAACAAATCTGAATAATTTAGACATATTTTTGATGTACTATGTCCGCTAGGTGTTTGCTTGGGGGGATAACGATCATGGGCAGCAAGGAAATGGGGGAACAACCGTAAACCGGAAACCAGCTCTCGTTCATGGACTGGAGGGAGTTAAAGTCTCCAGGGTTGCATGCGGGTCATCTCACAGCATATGCTGGACTACACAGGACACCCAGACTACCAATGCACATGAACCTGTTCTATTCTCAAACTCTAAGGTATAGTTAATTAAATGAGATCCTAAAGAGGGTCCAAATCACAACGGAACCATTAAAATCATTGTTTGATCAAGAATGAATGTGATATTAATTTATTAACTGAAAATTGATTATTTTCAATTTTGGTTTCTCTTATAAGTGTCTTTCGGATTTATCCTAAAGGAACAATAAAAGATATTACTAGAATAAGATACTTTAATCTAGAAAAAACATCTTTGATCAGATAAAGGTTTAAATAGTACTGTTGTGAATCAGATACTGTTTTCTGTCAAATCATAATAAATGGCAATTTTTTTATGCAGTAAAATTTAGCCAAAGAGGGAGAAACATGCCCCCACCCCCCACCCTCAAAAAAAAAATCATGAAAAAATCCTCCACCCTGCAAAAATATTGCAAAACCCAGGAATCGGTACTGCTTTTACGAAGACGACATTCATACCATTACTTAATCTTTTAAATTATAGTTTACATTAATTCTACTTAAAAATGTTAAAGTAAAATTCAGACAAAGTTTAAATGTACACCTGTATCATATGCAAAGTGAATTCTTGTTCTTTGGTAAAAATCTAGACTTTAATCATATCTACAATGTTTTGGATATGGTGGTTATTCACTTGAACTAACGTCATAGGAACTATAGATATTTTCACTTTTGTTAATATTGGCAGTTTTTTCTATTTAGTTTTGCTTTCTATTTTCTTTTGTCTTATTTATACTTTGTTATTCTTTTTGTTTTCGAATTTATTTGTGTCATAATTTATGCAAAAAAAAAATTCAAATGAACTTCTGTTACTTTCCTTTGGCCCTTTTGATGTAATTTTTATTCTAACTTCTACATTCGGAAATATATATGTTGATAACTCAAAGAAATATCGAAATATTCAAAGGCTCAAACAAAAGTAGGTCGGACAATTATAGCATCTTATAAAACATATTAAAGCAGTATAGATTAAATGTCGTCCTACTTATACCAGTGCCGATTAGGGTTTGCAAAACTCTTTTATGGTGCCTCGGATTTAAAGAATTTTTTGAGTTCCATAGTTTTATAAAGTTTTATCAGTTTACAGAATCATAGAATATAACTTAAAAGAGTATCTTTTTACCATCATTAAATGAAAGCTCATTCAGTACAAAACTTATTTTTGTGACTACTCCTTTTTCCAGAATGAAATGGAATGCATGTTAAAACTTAAGATATCCTATGACAAGAAGTTTAGCTTTTTTTTGATGTTTATGCCACAGAAATAAACAGTGAATGATTGTCGTCCTCTGTATTTACTTTCACATGAAATGTGGTAACATTTTTGTAATTTGTATATCTTGAAAATTATTTTCTGAACATTTTCTGGGAAATATCAAAACCTAAAACAACAACAAATTTCCTTAAGTCCTTAAGTTTTCTGGTTACCCTTGTAAAATAATTATATCTTATGAAAAACTGATTTTTATGTCGTTACTTGAAGAGAATGTCCGTGAATTTACAAGTGCCCCTTTATTACAAGAGAAGTATATCGGACTCGCAATAGTACCCTTAAAACCTTAAAGATAAAGCTTTTAGTAACCTTTTAGTAGCTATTAATGAAGAGTAACTTTAAATAAACTAAAACAGTCCCTTAAATTGTTTGAATTCTAACTTTTAGTAACCTTTTAGTAGCTATTAATGAAGAGTAACTTTAAACAAACTAAAACAGTCCCTTAAATTGTTTGAATTCTAGCTTTTAGTAACCTTTTAGTAGCTATTAATGAAGAGTACCTTAAAATAAACTAAAACAGTCCCTTAAATTGTTTGAATTCTAGCTTTTAGTAACCTTTTAGTAGCTATTAATGAAGAGTAACTTAAAATAAACTAGAACAGTCCCTTAAATTGTTTGAATTCTAGGATCCTCTGGGAACATTCCTGGTTGGGAGTAAGGATCTGAACAATGACTCCTCTAACATCAATAATCCAGGTAAGAAATTTTAAAGTTTTATGTTTTTAAGTATGTTTATCTGTTTTTTATTATAAAGAGCTGGAGGTTAATTTAAGCTTTGATGACTAATGTCAACCAAAACTTAATTGGAATGGATAGTCCAAGATAATGACATTGAATTTAGGCCTTCAGATTCACTGTAGTTTGATTATTGACTTTGTATATAAAAAACTTCACTTCCTAAAATTTTTTTTTTCAATACATACATATATCAATGAGTCTTAATGTTCAATGGTCAAAAAATTGTTCTGTTGAATTAGTTTTCTTTGCAAGTAACATTATCATTTGATTCTTTTTTTTAGGAATAAATTCTTCTTGTCTGAAATCTTCCCGTCTTTCTCTGTCCAAAATCTTGCTCTCCCTGGAGTCAAATGCCAGCAAGCAGAAAGCTCTTCAACATATCCTTAATGCTCTCCAGATTATATATGTTAGAGAAGCTGTTGTAGCTGCCATAGCCCCACATAACAATCTTGCTTCTCCAGTCAACTCAACTGACAATAATCTGTTGACCTTCAATACTTTAGACTCTTCTAGATCTAATGTTACCTCTGATGATCACCTTCAGGATGACATTGGGGATATTGCTATGGGTGGAGGAGAAGCTCCAGCATGCCGCGGAGAGATGAGCAGTGTAAGTTTATCCTTGAAAACCACCCCAGAGTCTGAGGAGTCCTCAGAGATCTATCCTGTATTTGTTGGACCTTCAACCTCTAAAACATGTAGTTTACCAAGAGGGACAAATCGAGGTGTCTCTGCTCTTGTTGGAGCTATGATTTCTGCCAAAGTTTCAGTTGGGAGACTTGATATAGTAAAGGAGTATCCCCCAGGTATAGATGAGTTTACACATCTCTTTGGTCAGGATGATATCCGTATGCTGGTTGATCTACTCAAGCTTGCTGTAGCAGGACGTTGCAGTGAGAAATCAAGAGAATCAGTAGCTTCTCTTCTGCAGACCATGGGTCAAGGTAATGGAGGAATATCAGATATGTTGCTGGAACTATGTGTTACAGAGCTAGAGGATGTTGCATCCAACACAGACTCCTCTAGAGCGCCTCCACAGCCTATAGTTCAGGAAAGCAGTCATCCCTATACAGATGATGTTACACTGACTGGGCATGTCAGAATACCTGGAGCAGAAGCTCTCAGGATAGAGTTTGACCGTCAATGTTCTACTGAGAGGAGGCATGATCCATTGACCATTATGGATTCCACAAGTAGGATTGTTGCCATAAGGTCAGGTAGGGAATGGACTGATTGGTCTCCTGAGCTGAGGGTTCAAGGAGAAGAGATTAAGTGGAAGTTCAGCTCTGATGGTTCTGTGAATGGATGGGGCTGGAGATTTACAGTCTACCCTATTATGCCTAGTTCAAATCTTCAGGACAGTCAGTCAGATCGAGCAGTACTTTCACGTCCCAGTCTAGTACTTGTTACTTGGCTTCTTGATTCCACCATGGGTGGAGTAAATAAGAGCATTGGGTCCAGACTTGCAGCTGCCCTAGCTGCATGTGCACATCTAAGCTCTCTTGGAGCAGCTCAAAGAATGTGGAGTCTGCAAACCCTGAGACAGTTGATGACTAGTGGATATGGACTGTCTCTCAACATTTCAGCCTTAGTGTCTGAGCAGGACATACCTAGACAGGTTTCGGGATCAGCTTTAGGAGTTCTTCTTAAAGGGTTGCCTGAAATGTTGTTGAGACAATATGAGTATGAAGATCCAATTGTTCGTGGTGGTAAACATCTTTTCCATTCAACATTCTTCAAAGAGCTTGTTGCACTTGCATGTGATCTAGGACTGGATTCCTTGCCATGCTGTACAGAGACCTACAAGTGGTCCTGGTTCAGAAGATATTGTGTTGCAGCAAGAGTAGCCACAGCATTGATCAACAGATCGTCCTTAACCCAACAATTTTGCCAAGATGTCAGAAAGAAGATTATGGAAATGTGTGCAGAGAATGAGATCTTTACGCTAGACCATGAGAACCATAATATATTTAAATTTGGTCATGATGAACAGCTTTTGCTTTGGTTGCATAAGAAACCTGAAGACTGGACATTGTCCTGGGGTGGTGCTGGAGCCATCTTTGGCTGGGGGCACAACCACCGGGGTCAATTAGGGGGAGTAGATGGTGCAAAGGTGAAGATTCCATCTCAATGTGAAGCTCTGAGTGTTTTAAGACCTGTTCAGTTAGTTGGTGGTGAACAAACATTATTTGCAGTGACTGCTGAAGGGAAGGTTTTTGCTACAGGTTATGGTGCTGGAGGTCGTTTAGGGATTGGAGGAACTGAATCAGTTTGTACTCCAACCTTGTTGGAGAGTATTCAACATGTATTTATCAAGAAGGTTGCTGTCAACAGCGGAGGAAAACATTGTCTAGCCCTCTCTACTGAAGGAGATGTATTTTCCTGGGGAGAAGGAGATGATGGGAAGCTAGGACATGATAATAAGCACTCCTGTGATAGACCCCGAGTTATAGAAGGCTTAAGGGGTAAGGATGTTGTGGATATAAGCTGTGGTGGAGCACATTCAGCAGCCATAACTAGCTCCGGGGAGTTGTTTACCTGGGGGAAAGGAAGATATGGAAGACTCGGACATGGGGATTCTGATGATCAGTACAAGCCTAAACTTGTAGAAGCACTGATGGGACATAGAGTCATTGATGTTGCATGTGGGTCTGGTGATGCTCAAACCCTTTGTATAACTGATGATGATAATGTTTGGTCTTGGGGAGATGGAGATTATGGGAAGTTGGGACGTGGAGGAAGTGATGGGTGCAAAGAACCCATGAAGATCGAGAGTTTGGCTGGGCTGGGTGCCATAAAGGTTGAATGTGGATCACAGTTTTCAGTATGTCTAAATAGAGCTGGATCTGTTTATACTTGGGGTAAAGGAGATTACCATAGATTGGGCCATGGTACAGACGATCATGTTAGAAGGCCTAGAAAGGTAGCAGCTCTGCAAGGACGAAAAATTGTCTCTATTGCAACTGGATCTCTTCACTGTGTTGCCTGTACAGATAGTGGAGAAGTATTCACTTGGGGTGACAATGACGAAGGACAGCTTGGAGATGGATCTACAAATGCTATACAGCGACCCAGACTTGTCGCAATTCTACAAAACAGAAAAATCAATAGAGTAGCTTGTGGTTCAGCTCACACCCTTGCCTGGTCTACCAACCGTCCAGTCACTACAAGCAAGCTTCCTTTAACTGTACCACTTGAATATGACATGCTAAAGGAGTTTGCCCCTGTTGTTTTGAGAAATCGATTGGTTCTGCTTCATCATTTTAGTGATTTATTCTGCCCTGGTATTGCCATGTTTCCTCTTGGAACAGCCACCAGCCAGACTGGTGAAACAACTGCAGGCATGGATAAACTTCGCACCCTTCTTGTCAGCTCATCCAAAGAATCAGCTTTTCGAAAAGTTGTACAAGCCACAATGATTCGAGACAGACAGCATGGACCTGTATTTGAATTAAATCGATTTGGTATTAAGAAAAGTCGTACTAAAAACAACAGTGGACATAACAACTCTAATAATTTTGAGGGCAACAAGACAGTGTTCACCCAGATGGTTGGAAAGATGAGCAGTTTGAACAATGAATGCCTCCTTCTACCCCACAGAATATGGAAGGTTAAGTTTGTTGGTGAGAGTGTTGATGACTGTGGAGGGGGTTACAGTGAATCTATTGCTGAGATGTGTGATGAACTAACTTCCAGTCAACTCACCCTTCTAATCCCAACGCCCAATGGCAGGGATGAGTCTGGAACTAGTCGGGATTGTTACCTGCTAAATCCAACCCTACGGTCTCCACATCACATGCAGATGTTCCGGTTCCTGGGCCTGCTTATGGGTATTGCAATCAGAACCGGAGCTCCCCTCAGCCTTAACTTAGCAGAACCAGTCTGGAAGCAAATCTCAGGGTCCAGTTTAACAACTAAGGATATAACAGAGGTTGACAGAGACTATATGCCTGGGCTCTTGTGTATCAGAGATATGGATGGGGATTCTAAGGTATGATTAGTTATCAATAATATTCTTCTGAACCCTTTTTTTATAATTTTCATTTTGAAGTTCTCACAGGAAAATTTCTAAACATCTTTATTTCATTTGAAACTCAACCCCCAGACCCTTCATTGATATATGAACAATTACAATCATTGTGAAAAAGTTTTGTAATTTCTAGGCATTTGCAGCGATGGATATGAACTTCTCTACTCCTAGTGCAGCAGGACAGGAGGTCCAGCTCTCAAACAGGTAACAATAGACATAGAATTTTGTGAGCTAATTCCAACTAGCGTGGCTCTTTAGCTCTCTCAAGAGGGAAATTCACAGGGCATAAACACCAAACAAGGAGAAATAGTTTTTCAGAAAGATTTAGAATTCAAGATTTAAATTTACATCATTTTTGCTTTTGTAAAATCCATATCTTATATATTTTGCACCGAAGGTAAATTTATGAACTGAACAAGCTTGTTGCAGTTCTTATATTTATGCAGTATGCAGACGTGAAATATTTTAATCAAACAATAAGAGAAAATTTTTCAAAAATTAGGTCTGATCCTACTTTAAGAAATGCGCAGGATGTAGTCTTAGTAGGAGATATGAATATTAACCTTCTAAAACATACATTGCATAGTGACACAGAGACTTATTTAGATACGCTTCTTGAGAATAGTTTCTTGCCTCTTATAACTCTTCCTACTAGAATAGGTCACAATTCAGCAACCATTTTAGATCATATTTGCACTAACATTGCCGATGATAGTTTTGATTCTGGCATTATTGTTTCAGATATTTCTGATCATTTTCCTGTTTTCTATATTCGACATTTTAAAGATAAATTCATAGAAAAAAAGTCCCAACAGAAAACTCGAAAGTTTGACTCTGAGTCTATTTTTAAATTCAAAAAAATGTTAGAAGATAAAAATTGGGAAAATGTTCTTCTGAATAGAGATCAGGACAGTGCATTTAATAATTTTTTTGATTCGATTGATAACTGTTTCGAATGTTCATTCCCTGAAAAAAATGTAAATCCTTCCAGAAAAAATAGACCTTTTAACCCTTGGATGTCTGAAGCACTGATAATATCGAGAAAACGTAAAGCCAAATTGTTTAATAAAAAGTTGAGGAAACCCTGTCAGGAAACTAAATCTAGATTTAAAGAATATAATGCAGTGTATACTCGCCTTGTGAGGGCAGCACGAAAAAAATACTTTAATGATAAATTTCAAGAATATAGTAAAGATTGTAAACAAACATGGCTGACTATCAATAGTGTACTAGGAAGGGGACGTAAAACAATTAACATTCCTGATGCATTTGTGAGCAATGGAAAAGTTCTCTCAGGGGCCGTAGAAATATCAGAGGGTTTTAACAATTTTTTTGCTAATATAGGNAATTTACATGCTAGAAATTTACATGTTAGAAATTTGTGATTGTAAACTCTATCTGTATACAGATACATTTATTTTAGCAATAAACGTTATCTTATCTTATCTTATCTTATGTCTAGGGCAGCGAAAAAGTTTTGAAGGTTAAATCTAAGACCAAGGCATGTTGAGACACAGTCAACCCAGTCTTGAACATGAAAGCACAATTTTCAAAGCTGCCTGAATTTCTGTGCCCTATAGAGTCCTGTATCTGCTTCTGATATCAAGTTATAATTTATGTTTAGGTATAGAAGGGTTACAGCGGACAATAGAGCAGAGTACGTCAAGCTAGCATTAAACTTCAGACTTCATGAATTTGATCAGGTTCATCAAATATTTATTTTATTTATTTAACGTATTTCATTGATTCTAACTTTTCTGAGGATAGCTCAAGTTTAAGCTCATTCACATCATAATAATTTGGAACATATTGTTGTTCTTGTTCTTGTTCAAAAGTATTTTGTTCTGATAATTTCTGTATATTTTCTTGCCGTAGAAATGGGAATGTAAAGTTCTGTAGATAAATAATCAGTTTGCAAAATTTTAAACATTAACATCTAACTCATACTTGATCAGATAAAGCTTTAAAGGGTACCATTGTGAATCGGGCTTCATCTAGCCATTGCCTGCAGGGTCACTTCAACTACGCTAACAGTCCCTTGATTGATAACGGAATAGATTTTACATTACTAATTACTCAAGGCTGTGAGTGCAGTACGTGAGGGAATGTCCCGTGTGGTCCCTGTCCCTCTCTTCTCCTTGTTTACTGGATTCGAACTGGAACAGATGGTTTGTGGGTCTCCTGATATACCTCTCCATCTACTCAGATCTGTTGCTACTTACAAGGTAGGCCACAAGGGGCGCAAATTCAGTTCTGGGGGGGGGGGCGTAGTAAACTGATCACCATATTTTAGTTAAATTAAGTGATTTTTAATTGAAAATCAAGAATAATATCAATAACATGATTTAATATTCTATATCTATATGATAAAAAAAGACATTCGTACATATATATATCAGGGGTCAATATAATTCCTTTTTCAATCCCATTTGGGATTGACAAATTTGAAAGAAATGGGGGCAAATTCTTTAATTGGGGGCAATTTTTTTTTATATGATAATTAAAAATAAAATTATTTTGGGATCGAGAAAATCAGCTTTTTTGGGAATTATATCGACCCCTGATATATATATGTTGCCTATAGCCGGCCAAACGGCTGGACCGATTGAGCTGAAATTTTTTTGTGGACTAAAAAAATTGGAAAGTTTTTTTCAACAATTTTTTAAAATTTTATTTAAATATTTTTTTCAAATTTCAATAATTTTTTTTTCCGCGGGCAACGCTGGGCTCTTCAGCTGGTATATTATATATTTAGTGTTTTTTAATGGAGTATTTTAGGATGTAATTCATTAATTACCCCCCCCCCCCTCCATAAAAAATTGGAACTTAACCCTTTGAAATCTTTTTAACCGTTTTTTGATTATTTTTTGTCCTCAACAACCTTTTGGTAGTCTTAAGGTGGTCTGGGTTCTTCGACCTGGGTCACCTTGGGGGGGCTTTTAGATCTTTCTCCTGATACTCCTGAAGAGATTAAAGCTCTCCTGGTTTATACATTATGAATGAAAATATACATATCTGTTATCTAAGGGAGTAGAGCCCTCAGATCCCCTGGTATCCTGGTTTTGGGCTGTTATGGAGGAATTTGGAACTGCTGAAAGAAGTCTCTTCCTTAGGTTAGTATCTTATTCATTGTTTTAAGGTATCTACGGTGGTAGGCATTATATCAATAAAATGAAGACTACTTTCAATTTTGATTTATATCAGGCTTTTAAACAGCATGGATACTCAAAAATCTGGAAACAAAGAGATTCTGTCAATTCTGAAAAAGCTTCTCTTCAATTACTTGTAAACTTTTAATTCGAAGAAAAGCTTGTTAACATAAAAGTTGTCTTCATTATTTTGATATAATCGCCTACCACAGTATAACATACTGAGAAAGAGACCTAAGAGAAAGAGGCCTAGGAAGAACTTAAAGTGTGGTGTGAACTAAGCTGAAAACTTCAAAATTGGATACCCTTAATCCCGATCGCTTAATTTCAATATCCACTGTGGACACTTTTGATTTCTGCTTAATCCTCTCTTTTGATTATTCATGCTGGGTTCCGACAAAGGATAGTTCTCTCATTGATTGTGCTCAAAATTTCCCGGCTTGTGATTGGCTGTCCGGTTTATGCTAACGCCACTCTGATTGGTTGATTTTAGACACTGTCCTGTATATCAAAATAAAGATTATATTATCAAGCATTGACCTAGAGATCCACAATCTAAAGTTTTCAGCTCTTAACAGAAGGAAAACGACAATCTTATGCAGTATTACTTTGTTACCTGATAGCTTCTACAGTTTTGTTTTAATGCACAAGACTTTATGGCCATGTTAGAAATTTACATGTTAGAAATTTGCACGTTAGAAATTTACATGTTAGAAATTTACATGTTAGAAATTTGCACGTTAGAAATTTACATGTTAGAAATTTACATGCTAGAAATTTACATGTTAGAAATTTACATGTTGGAAATTTACATGATAGAAATTTACATGTTAGAAATTCACATGATAGAAATTCACATGTTAGAAATTTACATGTTAGAAATTTACATGTTAGAAATTTACATGTTAGAAATTTACATGATAGAAATTAAAACATTTCTCTTCTTCTTCTCAAGAGCGCTTCAATTAATGGAGTTAAGAGATTTTAATCGTTCGTGCAATTTACATTAGTTTGACGTGGTTGATTGATTCGTCATCAGGTTTTCAGACGCGTTTTTTAAATGTTATTAAAATTTGTCTGCAAAAGAATTATCTTATTTAATAAAAACTCAGTGAGCTTTTGTAGAAAAACCGCAAATTAAAAAAAACAGTTGAAGGATACAAAAACGTCTAATACATACTTGATCAGACAAAGCTTTGAAGGGTATCGTTGTAAATCGGGCATTGCCATCTTTGCAGTGAGGGCCACTTCAAATTACGCGAACAGTCCCTTTAAGTTTATATTTCTGAAAAGGAGTATTATATTTAGTAGAAAAAGTCAAATAGTAACAATCAACTCGGATTTGTCTCCGTAAGTAACAAATTTTCGGTCATATTTCTTAAGAAAAAAAAAATTTTACTATGAATTCAGAATTAATAAATTGTATTAGGTTTGTATGGGGCAGAACTAGATTACCCAGATCCATCGCAGACTTCAGGGGCAGGGACTTCGTGCTTCAGGTTTACAGTTTTACAGCTTAAATTCATATTTCTCTGTATATCCGTGTTTATAACCATCCATTTATCCCTCTGTATATCCGTGTTTATATCCATCCATTTATCTATCAGTATATCCACATTTACATCCATCCATTTATCTATCTGTATATCCACATTTATATCCATCCATTTATCTATCAGTATATCCACATTTATATCCATCCATTTATCTATCTGTATATCCACATTTATATCCATCCATTTATCTATCTGTATATCCACATTTATATCCATCTATTTATCTATCTGTATATCCACATTTATATCCATCCAATTTTCTATCCGTATATCCACATTTATATCCATCCATTGATCTATCTGTATATCCGTATTTATATCCATCCATTTATCTATCTGTATATCCGTATTTCTTTCCATCTTATTCTAGACGAATAAGATGGAATCTGTAATCCGTTTATATCTATCTATCTAGATTCTGGATAAATATAATCCTCCTGATGATTTTCTGCCTGAAAGCTATACCTGCTTCTTCCTGCTCAAGATGCCAAGATATTCTTGCAAAGCTGTTCTCAGGTTTACACATTTTACAGATATTGGCGCTTCGCGCCCCTAGCAAATTGTTTCCTATAACTTTCTCCTCGTACATATTAAAAATTAACAATAAAAAATTAACAGAAAAAAATTAACAAAAAAAAAATTAACAAAAAAAATAAACAATGATAAAAGGAACAACGAAAATATTAACAAAGATAAAAATGGAGAATAAAAAATTAACAATGATCTATCTGCCAGCTTTTCGTACATTTCAAAATTTCGGGTTTTTTGTAGGCATACTCCTTCTCTGGGTGATGTACTGCTAAAAAGTTTAATCGATCGATTCAACTGTTTTCGTTTATTGAACACAAACAATCAGACAACGCAAATAAATTAAAAGATATCCCATCAATATTATTCTTAAATTATCATTTTACAATCTTATTTTTTAGAGAAAAATTGAAGTATGCAATTCATTTCTGCAAATCCATAGATACAGACGAGTATGCCAGGTTAGTACATTTTAATTCACTTATTTTTAATATCATAATTTCATAAAATTAATATTTTGATCTTGATTAATTTCATCATTTAGATAAAAATAGTTTTCCGAATCAACTTATCAAGATCATGATTAAGATCAAGATCATGATATTGATAAGGATTATGATCAAGATTTTGATAAAGTTAGTATTATCAAGATCTCGATTATGATGAAGGGTCTGATTTAGATCAAAATAAATTCTCATGAAGAACTCTAGGTCAAGATGAAGATAGTTATCAAGATTATGATTAAATTCAAGATTATGACCTCTGGTTAAAAAAGATCAAGGGTTCGATAAAGATCAAGAATATTATCTTGATCAATGTCATGGTTGAAAATCAAGTTTGATTTGATTTGAATTGAATACCAATACTTACGACATGATTATTGTAGGGTTAACCTGCCCAGCGGAGATGGAGCTAACAGTGACTCCTCCGAGTATATGGAGAGTGGGATGGATAGTGATGCTGAACACAACCCGGAGCTAGCTTCTCTACTTTCTAACTAGACCCGGAGCTAGCTTCTCTACTCTCTAACTAGACCCGGAGCTAGCTTCTCTACTCTCTAACTAGACTCTGAGCTAGCTAATCTACTCTCAAACAAGACCTGGATCTAGTTTCACTTAATTTAACTACATCCAGAGATAGTGTTTTTCTCTAACAAGACCTTACTCTTATAATGGACTCAAGTCAATCCCTTCTAGTAATGCCATAAATTTGATCCACTCTTTGCTCTTAAACAATCCCTTCAAGGTTAGGGATCAATATGATCCAGAATTTACTTTTAAACAAGACTTCAAAGTTCCTTCTAATTTATTGATAATTTGATTCACCATTTACTCTTGAACTGGACTCAGAACAGTTCCTTCTAATTTATTGATCATTTGATCCACTCCTTGATCTTGAACTAGAACAATCCCATCTAGTTCATCCATAACAATTCAATCAATAAATAATAATCAAACTTCCAATGTGTCACCTTGTTTCTAAGTTCTGACATTGCACCCCTGAAAATTGTTTTCAGTATATAAAGCAGGGATGAATATACTCTCTTTGTTGTAAAAAGGGATCAGGCTATAAATCCAGTAAAATGTGATCACGATTTAGTTCATTTTAGTTAATTTTGTTATATGCTATGTGTGAAGCTTCAGAGGAGAAGATATTTTAATACAAGGGGGAGGGATGGGCTATGTAAAAAATGGCACAGTCTAATATTTATGTTTTTTTTTGCGTCTCTTATGAATATTAATCTCCAAAACACTTTTGTTAGATATAATTTTTGAAAATTTAAGATAATAAATATTTTTTTTAAGTTACATTAACTCAAAGTTGGCTAAATTATCTAATAATGCCTTATAACAATATCTTAATAACCATCTTATCGAATGCACAAAATATAATTCTAAATCGTAAATCGAACCACTTTGCTATTGTAAAAAAATAAATTTAACTTGTTAAAAATTTCATTTTTTCAAATTGTAAAATGAGGGGGGAGGGAGGGCATTTGTGACATTTTACCATACACTTAAGTAACAGGAGAAAAAGGGGAATATAAAAATGAAAAAAATTATTTGTCAATTTCTGCAGGAATATATTTTATTGAAGGATCAAGCATTTACCTCAAATTAAAAGTTTCCACAGAGAGGGGGGGGGGGGCAACCGCACAGCCTCCATCCCGCAATTTACTCACAAACATAAACTTGCGACAACTCGCTCACCTGTAGCGCTTCCATAGCCGCACCCATATTATATACGGCAAAATGTCTCTAGATTTTCCTAAAATATAATATTTTCTACATGTCGGCTGATGTTATTCTTCTCTAAAATGTTTTGGAAGGAAGAGAGAAATTCAATTGTTACCAGAAATATCACTGTTTCGCGCGCAATCTGGTTTTAAATTATCTATATCTATTATCTATCTATCTGATTTTAGATAATTTAAAACCAAATCGCACGTAAAAATACGTTATTTTTGGTAAAGATTGAATCTCCTTCACTTCAAAAACATTTTTAGAGAAATTCAACATCAGCTAACATGTAGAAAATATTACATTTAAGGAGGAAATTGCAATACATCAGTTTTTAACAAAAATTGCCCCAGTGAGCAAGAATGTTTACTTATACTACCAAAAAATATGATTAAATGTTTAGGTTATAATGGATGCCATGACGTCTTTAAAATTTTAAATTTACGCTGCATTTCTTTTTAATAAGCATTCAAAAGTAAAGCCATTTTACTGGAAGATAGACGAGTGCGGCTAAGGAAGGAAGCGCGTTGCCGCAAGTCTATTTATATGAGTAAATGTTTCATATGAGGAACATTAGAAATGAAATATCTATAGGTTTCTCTTGGTAGATCAAATAAAATGCGAATAGCGATGTTGAGTTCTTGAACATCCCTACTGTATAAATACCAGGTATTTGAGTAATAGAAATTACAAGCGTATATATCATACAATCTTAACAATCTAGATGTATTAGCATAATGAAATTCTTGACAAAGAGAATATAACTTAGAAATAAATTCATCACGGTTACAGCTATATCTTTTGACATAGAACCATTAGACTGCAATGTGTTGCCAAGATGTTTAATTTTACATTCATAGGGTATGGGTAAACTATTTAAAAGTATCGGGCTAATGTCAGTAATCAGTATTCATGACAGGGTAACTGAAAAATATAAACTTTAACTGATGAAGACTAGCAAATTTTTCACAAACAGTAGTCATAAACTGTAGTCCAGATCGACTTGGAGATAATAATATAATGTATTGCGCATAAACTCAGATTCCCAGGTATACGTGATCTAGTTAAAACCAACTTTCAGATTTATAAGTTGAACAATCAGATCATTTATATAAACACAAAACAATATTGGCGAGGAAACTGCACCCTGGCGTACACCATTTTTCACAATAAAAGGTGAACTAATATTCCCCCATCTCACATTACGCATTTGATTTGATTAAATATGTAATAAGCATCTTAATATCGAAGGTTATATTTTTCTTTTCAGAAGTTCAGGAAATAGTTTAGCCAAAGAAACCATTTCAAATACTTTACTTAGGTCCATTGAACAGGCTAATATAGGCCTGCCTAGTCTATTATAATAATCTATTACAGTGATTATCGCCCAAGTACACATAGATGTGCTAGATTTAGCTTGAAACCCAAACTGTAGCTCATCTGTTGCTAGTTTATCACCTTTGGGAATAATGATAAGCCAATCAAACCATGCTTTAATAATAAGATACCTATCGCAATGGCTCTGTGGTTATCACTTGTTGCAATATCTCCTAGGTTGTCCTTAACGATAGGTACTACATTACAAAGCAGCAGAAATGCAGTACGCAGAAACCATTTAAATAGTATTGTCACATGCTTAATTAGATCATCACACGATCTTAATATACAATCCAAATTAAAAATTAATTGGATCACTTCTCCCTGATTTGGATTTAGTTAGAGCTTCAAACACAGTTCTCTCGTTGACTATCCAGCTCATCCAGTAGACAAGGATCTACCTGGAAAACAATGGATTCATGAACCCGAGCAAACTCATCTCCTAAATCATGTTACTGATAAAGTTCACTGTAAATATCGGCAAAATGATTAGAAATATCCTGTGTTCCAGTGTAACCATCAACACTGCTAGATAAAGTGCTAGTTTTACCGCAAAACTTCTTTATATCTTCAAAAATATCAAATCCTCCGTCTGCAGCCCTGTAAGTAGCTTGTCCTTTATAATATTGTAAGCTGCTCGTTTAAGCCTACACAGAGCGTTCATATTTTTATTGCATTTTAGCTTGCATATTCATATTATATAGTTCTCCTATTTCAGGACATCCTGCAGCATGCCAAACCAATCTCCGTTCCAGGATATACTTTCATCCTGGTACGGTTTCACTATTCTGTCCAAGTTCTCCTACTTCAGGACATCCTGCAGCATGCAAATCTCCGTTGCAGGATAGACTTTCATCCTGGTACGGTTTCACATATTTTGTCCAAGTTCTCCTACTTCAGGACATCCTGCAGCATGCTAAACTCCGTTGCAGGATAGACTTTCATCCTGGTACGGTTTCACATATTTTGTCCAAGTTTTCCTACTTCAGGACATCCTGCAGCATGCTAAACTCCGTTGCAGAATTATAGACTTTCATCCTGGTACGGTTTCACATATTCCGTCCACCCTGTCATAATGGTTGTCCAACAAGGGGGAGACAAGTAGCACTAGCAACTGTGTCCACTGTGTGTCCACTGTTACATCATGCTCTACACATTTTAAGGAATCAGAATCAGCACACTTGCAATTGGTGGATTTAGGTTTTCTAATAAGTACTGCAAAATTCCTCTAATGTTCTCTTTTTCTTCACTAGCATTTTGAATTTTCTCTGGTACTTCTACTTTAAGATTTAGTTAATCCACATGCACCTTTTTATGAATAGAAAAATTCCATAATGATTGTCAGGACTGTTAATAACTCCAGGTTCTGAAAATACATTATACAAACGCTGGTTTCCTAAGAAATGATCTATAGAGGAGAAATATTTTGCACCATTAAAGGAGTGACCGGCTATGTAAGGTAGTTGAACTGAGTATGCAGTGTTGTGGAAAACTTCTTTCGGATTCATTTGGACATATTAAACTTTTAAAGATCTGTAAATCCAGAGTTTGAGCGCAAATTCGATGTTCAAAACTCCTACTTTGGGGGTGGATACGTTTTCAGAATTAGTTATTTTTAATTATTAAATAACAACTACATAAAATGTAAAAAAGTTCTACAATAAACTACAGACGTCATGTATAGGAACATGTTGAGAAAATAAAATTAATCTTATCATCGAAAATAAGTAATCTTGTTCAATTATTAGTTTTTTATTTTCTCATTGTTCACAAAGATTTAATCGCAGATTTTCGAGAATTATTATTGGAAAGACGACATTTGAAGAATTTGAAGAAATCTGCAAATAAATTCAAAGAAAATAAGAAATTCAATAAAATAATGAAAACGAAATAATCTATTTTAGCATTGATTTATTGACAAAATTCTTTTGAGAAATATGTTCCTAACTATCTAATTAGATTACTGTATAATTTTTACTTTATTTTTCGTTGTCGTTATTTAATAATTAAAAAAAAAAAACTAATTCTGAAAACGTATCCACTCCCAAAGAAGGAGTTTTGAACGTCGAATTTTGCGCTCAAAAATACGGAAACCCCTCAAAAATTTTGCGGAAACGGAGTTTCAAATATGAGGAAACGCCTCAAAAATTCCTCAAAAAAATTGGGTACTCCATCAAAAATAATTGTCAGTTGAAAAGCGGAAATTTTAGGAAACGCCTCAAAATAAAGAGGAAATCCCTCAAAAACTGGGGTTTGAGGGATTTCCGTTTTTCTTACAGAAATCGCGAAAACACCTCTAACAAATTACTTTTGAGAGGTTTCCGCTTTTTTGAGGAATTTCCACGGTGAGACATTTCCGTAGCACCATTAAAGATACATAAACATTACCGTTAATCTCACTCAGTATTTTCCAGTTTTACTTTCCCCTTTACATATATAGTATATGTATCCTCTACAGTGGAAGGAGATGGTATTTCTTCCTTCATGGAATCATTTTCCTCTTTCAAATTAAACTCTTATTCCTTTCTTCCTTTATATTTCCAGCCATACTCTCTGAAATAATATCAGTAGTCAATAATGAGACATGTAGATTTTAAGGATTAAAAAAATTAAGAATGAATTTGAGTAATAAAAGAATAACAATGAAAAAGTATTTGTAGATAATACATCATGGATGGAGGCGGCTGAATCAGGAGTTCCACAAGGAACCATCTTATGATCTTTCTTTTTACCATTGACATATGAAAAATTCGCATAAACAAATCCAAACCTTGTAATATTAATGGCGGGGGGGGGNTAAGTCAATAAAAGATTGTAATTTTAGTGTAATTTTAATTGACCAGAACCAGAATGTTCAGAAATTCCCTAAGGCAAATTTGAAAGGGTTGGGGTTGGAAATGTATATGAATGCATCGCTCTGTTTAAAACTGTATGACAGCATAAAATGATCTGTAAGCGCAACTGGAAGGACACTAATGATCAAATCCAATTTTATATACAAATTTGATGAAAGTATGACGTAAAATGGGTACGAATGATCCGAGGAAGGATACAAATGAGAAAATATGATTAGTATACAATTATTATAAAATGGTATGATATGAATTTTGGATACAAATGTTGTTATGGCTGGGGAAAGGTCATGTTTATTCTTCATAAAAACTGTTAGAGAGGTATCTGTTGTTGCAGTTTACTCACATTATCTCACTTATTTATGTTTAAACATATGTTTACTTAAATTACTTGCTACAGTTGCAGAATTTTCCACAGGGACATCTCACTCCTTCAAGTTTGCTCTGAATATGCTGTTTCAGATTACTAACTGTAGAGGCAGCAAAAGCACATTTATCATAAGTATATCTCACTTCTTCATGTTTAATCTCAATATGTTATTTGAGGGTAATTCCTGTATATGCAGCAAACTCACCTTTATCATCTAGTCCAGTTGCAGCGTAGTCACATTAATCACAAAGATATCTTACTCCTGCATGCTTACAATTTTTATGTCTTCTAAGATTACCTGCTCCAGTAGCAGTATAATGACATTTATCACAAAGATATCTCTCTCCCTCATGTTTTATCTCAATGTGAATTTTAAGAGAGCTTGCTGTAGTTGCAGCATGCTCACATTTTTTCACAAGGATATCTCACTCCATCGTGTTTACTCTCAATATGTTGTCTGAGAGCACCTACTGTAGAAGCAGCGAACTCACATTTATCACAAGGATATCTCACTCCTTCGTGTTTAACCTTAATATGTTTTTTGAGAATACTTACTGTAGAAGCAGCGAACTCACATTTATCACAAGGATATCTCACTCCTTCGTGTTTAAACTTAATATGTTGTTTGAGATTACTTACTGTAGAAGCAGCGAACTCACATTTATCACATGGATATCTCACTCCTTCATGTTTAATCTCAATATGTTGTTTCAGATTGCCTGCTGTAGAAGCGGCGAACTCACATTTTTCACAAGGATATCTCACTCCTTGGTGTTTAAACATAATATGATGTTTGAGATTACTTACTGTAGAAGCAGCGAACTCACATTTTTCACAAGAATATCTCACTCCTTGGTGTTTAAACTTAATATGTTGTTTGAGATTACTGTCTGTAAAAGCAGTGAACTCACATTTATTACATGGATATCTCACTCCTTCATGTTTAATCTCAATATGTTGTTTCAGATTACTTACTGTAGAAGCAGCGAACTCACATTTTTCACAAGAATATCTCACTCCTTCGTGTTTAACCTTAATATGTTGTTTGAGATTACTGACTGTAGAAGCACCGAACTCACATTTTTCACAAGGATATCTCACTCTTTCATGTTTCAACTCAATATGCTGTCTGAGATGACTTGTTGTAAAAGCAGCGAACTCACATGTATCACAAGGATATCTACCTCTATCCAATTTTCTCTTCTTACTTCTCGACTCTCTCACTCCTTCATGCTTACTCTCAATATGCAATTTAAGATAAAGTGAGTTAATTGCAACGAATCCACATTTATTACATGAATACGGCCCTCCTTCATGATTACTCTTTACATGGAATTTAAGATCTTGTAAAAAAGATCCATTGTACTCACACATATCACATGGATACATTTGATTTTCATCCTGTTTACTTACAATGTGTTTCATCAAGTTTGAACGTTTAGAAGTTGAATATTCACATTCATCACAGGTGTATTTAGGTTCAGATGATGAAGGATAGTCAGCTCTTGTTGACCCAAAACTGAGAGGATCTTCTTCATTGTCCATAATAACATCTAAAGAAATCAAATTAAAAACTAAAACTAAAAGTATGATTTACTATGATCAATTTAATAATAATTTTGTATGAATACTATTACTATAAGTAAATAGTGAAAGGACCCAGTCCTGCAGGTGGACAGAATCGACTTGAATAATACATCCCGATCAACACTGATATGGTCGGCAGCTCCCGGCTCTTCATGGCCCAGAGCTGGCTCATCAAAATCCAATTAATAACATTTTTTTTCCAAACACTTCTCTCTATTACTTTCCTAAAACGATCATCCTAGGTTTTACATGTTTCATACTTCACATGGAATAAATAATCTAAGAAAAACCAAAATTCAAAATATTAAATACTAAAAAAACTAATCAATAAAAAAATCCGTAAAAATTTAATTAGAAATGAGCCAGCGCTTTGCCATGAAACACCTGGAAACTCAATATTTATTAACTTTATGATTGTTTCCAGATGGGTAAAAATCTGGTTGAAACAGATCCAACTATACAAATTGCATTAGTTTGTTTGTTTTCAAAAGTCCGAAAACCTGCCGTTGCAAATTGAAAACAAAAAATAAAAGTATAATTGACTGTTTAGTAGATTAGTGTTAAAACTAAATTTACCTAGAAACTCGTTCTTTACATCTTCCTCCTTTATAATAACTGTACATGTATCCTCTACAGTAGAGGATGGAAGGATATCTTCCTGAATCTCTTCTTTAATCTCAATATTCTCCATTTTTATTTTGTCCTCCAAGTTTTCAGCCATTTTTTCTGAAAATAAAAATGTAATTTAACAATATCAAATAATAATAAAATCTCTCCGACACAACAATATCATTGAATGGGAATGTGTCCGCTTCTATAAATTTCTTGATTAGTGTTTACTTTATATGCGTTTTCATGTTTCCGTAGCTGGTGAGCTGTAGTTGTAGCATATTCACATTATTACAAGGATGTCTTCTAATTGCTCCATGTTTATTCTCAATATACATCTTGGTGTTCTTGCAAAATACTCACATTTAACAAAAGGATATCTCACTCCTCCATGTTTACTTTCAATATGAATCTCAAAAGAACCTACTGCAGTTGCAGCGAACTTTTATTTATCACAAGGATATCTTACTCCTTCATGTTCATTCTGAATATGAAGTTTAAGAGCTGTGTAGTTAAAGCAAGTTCATATGCATCACATCGATATCTTACTTTTTCATGTTTACTTTCGATATGTATTTAAAGATCCCTTTTAGTACCCCTTTCAGTACCCATGGAAAAATATTAAAGATTTACTTAATTCAACATCTTTAAACATTTGAATAAATATCTCTGTATCATAAATATGCAATACTTTAAATTTAACTTAAACCTTAAAACTTTAACTTTTAGTCATATATTTTATTGCTTCATACATTCAATAATATATGCAATGACCAACCTACAGAAACTGAATGATTATCTTAATACCTGTCTCTTCTTGGATTGAACTTTTGCATTACATCCAAAACATGAATCACACACAGCACAATAATTAATTTATTAATTTGTAATAAGTTACTCATTTTAGTTCCTTTTAGCTTAAATCATTGAAAGTTGTAAAAAGACAATGCTTAGAATTCATTTCATATTATCGCAGATCCTGTTAAATAAGGTTCCGTATAATTTATCATGAGAATATCACATTTATGAAACCTGCCAAAGTGCATATGGAAATAACCGTTCATCAATTAATCAATTAATAAATCATAAGAATATCTTCTTACATCAGGTTTCCTTTTTTTCTCCTTGAATCAGACAGCAGAGGATCTTCTTCCTGCAGTGTCCGAATTTAATGAATTTTAGCCATGTCTCAAATCCGACAAAAACCGGTTTAAATTAGGCGCCGGCTTAAATCTTGAAACATTGAATACAATTTTATGTGGAACCAACCATATTTGAGCCGCGTCTTAAATTTAAGCCGTGGATTAAATTTAAGCCTCGGATTAAATTCTTTAAATTCGGACTGAGGCTTGATATTTCACCTAGACAATAAATTAAATTGTAATGGAGAATGTTGAAATGTTCTTTTCAAAACTGGAGACAAGAATTTTCTTGTTTAATTTATTTTTTTGTTTATTTTCGTGAATTTATTTGACCCCAAAATTTACATTTCTCCAAATAATCAAAGATTTGACCACAACAATCCAAATATTACCTAAAGATACAGTATTTTCATTCTAAACATCCTCTTCATTTATATATATACAATACATGTATCTTCTACAGTTGAGGGAGTATCTTCTTTCATCTCAAATCTTTCCATTTTAACATCGACTGTCTGTTAAATAATAGTGCATTGTTTTCTGCAGAAGAGGATGAAAGGAATTCTTATAATTTCCATCTTTATCATTTCCCTCATTTTGACCATTTTCTCTGAAATAATATTTTGTTTGTAAATCATAATGTATTTATAAATAGTTATCAACAGTTATAACTGTTGATAAATATATTAATTATCATAGATAAACATATAATACTAAATAGTTCAGAGTATAACAACAGGAGTTTCCCCAAACAGGCCTGGTATTTACTATTTACATTTTACTGCCTGTGTATCGTCTGCAAACTCGTCGACTCAATTTAATTTGACAGCTAAGTGTACACTTTCGCTGTAAATACAGAAGACGACTTTTAGAGTTATCTCGCGTTTAAAACAAATATTTGGCTGGGGCTGAAGTGCAAACATCAGAAGCCGAAATTTAAGACATTTTAAACATATTTAAATCGGATTTTAATGATAGAATTAATCAAGACGACAAATTTTTCTAAGCATAGGTAAAATTATCGTAAAAACTTTTGCGGCATTAGTGCAGCTAAGATTTTTAACCCTCATGGTATATTAGGTGTTGGGACGTTGCTAGGACGTAAAAGCACACCTTTTTACGTTTTGACAACCTTTCTTATGTCGTCCAAATGACAAAACTATTCATACACATTATCTTACACTTAGCCACAGAACAGAGATTAATCTCTTCTCTTTGTATACTGCTACCCCTGCCCCCCCCCCCCACACCCCGTCGTATTACATCATGAGCGCCCTCCCGTCCTTTCTAACCCATACCCCACTCTGTAAAAATACATATTTTTACTGTACATTTTGGAAATATCTTTTGAAATTCACACATATGAATATTTTCCAGATTTAGTTTAATCTGAAATAATTGTACATAAATCTTTTTGCTGAAAAACTTCTTTTTATTTTACGTTTATTTTAATCAAGTTTAGAATGAAGATGATCAGTTTGATTGATCTGAAAAATATTTGCAGCTTCCATGAATGTTGCTCTTGGATGAAGAACCATTGACTCTGAATCTGGTCTATTGGATTCCCTAGAGACTGATAGTCCAAAAATAATCATTTTCAGTTTAATTTTAACAACTAATTGGATAATTCAATATGCAGCTTTGTGCTGGATAAATTAGTATTAGAAGAAATGCAAATTCTTAAAAAAATACTAAAACAAAATAATGAGTTGTTATATCTGTTATGTCTGTATAGAGAGTGGAGAATTTGAAGGATCTCTTGGTTAAGTCTAAACTTCCAAGTAGACAGGGATTCACAAGGGAAAAAAGAGATAAGGTTGGGTTTAAACCCTGTAATAAATCTCGCTGCCCTGTATGTGAACAGATGGGAAAGAATTCTGTTGAAGAGGTGATAATCTCGGCTACTGGAGAAAAGATGAGGATTAANGAAGAGAGATATTGAGGGGAGCCTGGAGGAGGGAGCTAGGATTGGAGCCTGGAAGGGTATAGTTGGGATGGGGAGCTGGAAGGTAAAAGAATGGGAGGGGAGTGAAGATAAACGGTTTGGAATGTTTTATTATGATATATTAATACCTCTACAAAGACAATTTTATTATCATGAAAATATATTGTTGAGAAAATCTTGATTTTGTAAAAAGATAAAAGATTGGATAAAACTGAAGTTTAGTAGAAATTCTATTCTATGAATGTGGGCCTTTAATTTTCCGTAAAAATACTCGGGAAAAATAATGGTTTAAAGGGAACTGGTGTGAATGCCTCTCTATTAATGAAGGTTCACTAAAATAAATTTCGAATGTCTCTTTAACACAATAAAATGTAGATCATGTAATACGTGTATGATATATATATACATGTCTGTTCTACTGTGTACTGTTTAAGCATGACTTGGTCTTTTAATGCCTATAAACCTGAACCAGTATCCAACCTATAAACCTGTATATATGTAACGAATATCGTGTGACACTATATTTGTAAACCTGAACTACATTGTACATTATTAATCATCTACGTTTGTAAATAACTACGCAAAACTTGTATTGCGATTAACCTTACTTAGCTACATCTGTAAATAACTAATCAAACCTTTATTGTGATTAGCTTATCTACGCCATGTGGATTTAACAGTTCTGTCAATATTCCAGAAAGCTTTTACTTTCGATCACAATTTGACCCATAAGCATAATTTGTAAGCCTTTTTCTTTAATACTTTTTTGTTGGCATATGCATTTTTAATAAAAATGTATAAAATAAACAAATCCGTAAAGTAAATGATTATTGAATTAAAGACGAAAACACGTTTGATTTCAAATAGAAGAAAGCGAATGCTGCTCAACCTGGTTAGTCCGGTGTGACGCGAGTATATAAGGTCGTAAAATTTCTAATTACGTTGATTAGCTTAACCTGTAAGATAGAACTCAAAATACATTTAGTTGGAATTAGACTCCGCTTTGATTACAGTTTGAGAGTAATTACTTCTTCTTTAGCGAACAAAAAGCGTCCTGAATCACTCTCTTGAAATAGAGAACTAGATTTGGAACTGATTGAGCGTGTCCGTGTGTGACATTGATTTTAAACAGATAGATCGTGTCCATGTTTGACATTGATAGTAAAGAGATAGATTGTGTCCAGATTGACATTGATAGTAAAGAGATAGATTGTGTCCAGATTGACATTGATAGTAAAGCATTCTTGGAACTGTGAAATCCTGATTGAGTTATACCTTGATTGATTGATACGGTGTGAAAGACTTCTATGGAGTAGGGCATTTACTACATATATACCTGAATCAGTATTCAACCTATAAACCTGTATATATAAACCTGAACCAGTATCTAGCCTCTAAGTCTGTATTTAAACCTGAACCATTATCCAATCGATAAACCTGTATATAAACCTGAACCAGTATTCAACCAATAAACCTGTATATATAAACCTGAGCCAGTATTCAACCTATAAACCTGTATATTTAAACATGAGCCAGTATCCAACCTATAAACCTGTATATATAAACCTGAGCCAGTATCCAACCTATAAACCTGTATATTTAAACCTGAGCCAGTATCCAACCTATAAACCTATATATATATATAAACCTGAACCAGTATCCAACCTATAAACCTATATTTAAACCTGAGCCAGTATCCAACCAATAAACCTATATTTAAACCTGAACCAGTATACAACCTATAAACCTTGTAAACCTGAACCATTATCCAACCTTTAAACCTGTATATAATCCTGAGTCAGTATCCAACCATAAACCTGTATATAAACCTGAACCCATATCCAACCTATAAACCTATATATATAAACCTAAACCAGTAACTAACCTATAAAACTATATATAAATCTATATATAAATCTATATATATATATAAGTCTATAAATAACTAGTTCAGACTCCAATTATTGCCGCACTCTTCTTGCCACGTATAATCCTGAACCAGTATCTAACCAACCAAATAAATATTTTTACAATCTTTAATTCTTTTCATCTCCTAAAATACTTATATTCTTCCTTCGCAGTATTCAGAAAATATACAGCTGTGTTTTTAAAATATTTTCTCCTCAAGGAATTAGTTTTTTTATTAAAAATAAGAATAATAACTTTAACTTTTGCTCCTTGGTTCACAGTGGTTTCATTCAAAGAAAAGATGGGGCTTCTAAGAGACTATGACTGTAAACCTAATAAGGTGATTACAGGGTTGTAGTTTTCATTTCATAAACTTTTGATAATACTTTAAAACTAAATATGAATATCTAAAGAGTAATCAAATATTTCAGAAAGGTTTACATCATTAAAGATACAAAATTGATTAAGGCATTAATTCCCATATTTTCTTAAATTATAGCTTTAAATCATAAAAGAATGTATTTAATTTATATTAAGCAACTTGTCTATTCAAAATAAACTGTAATTATTTTTAGCGCATTCAGGAGTGATTATATTATTCCCAAATATTTTACAGATGATTTCTGAAAAATTATCATAGCCCTGAAAAAAAAACATAAAAGTTTCAAAGATTGTAAATTTTTTACTCAGAATATATAAAGTTTTAAGTGCAGGATGTCCAAGTGTAATTAATTCAACTTTTGGACTTCAAAAGATCAGGATAAATGCATCCAATGATAAAATAATAATAATAAAATAAAATATGGTTTTAGAAATATTGATGAAAACCAAAACTCTCAGTCTCTAAGATTATTAATTCTTGCTCAGGAGTCCGAAACTAGTTAATATAACAATTTTTAAAGATACTTATATTACTATTTGTCTTCCTCCCCCCCCCCCCTCCTTCCTTCCTTTATATTATGTAAATATGTTTGTTTATAATTAAATCTTAACTTCCATTAGATAATACTAGAGGTTCTAATTACATTACAATGTGTGGAGGGAAAATAATGTGTTTACCAAAGATGTTTCTTTATATTGGAAACTAAATACGTACTCTGTGTATATTTACCTACCCTGAGCTAAACCAAACCTCTGTGTATATTTACCTACCCTGAGCTATACTAAACCTCTGTGTATATTTACATACCTTGAGCTAAACCAAATCTCTGTGTATTTATACATACCTTGAGCAAAGCCAAACCTCTGTGTATATATATCCTTAGCTAAACCAAACCTCTGTGTATATATATCCTTAGCTAAACCAAACCTCTGTGTATATATACATACCTTGAGTTAAACCAAACCTCTGTGTATTTATACATACCTTGAGCTAAACCAAACCTCTGTGTATTTATACATACCTTGAGCAAAGCCAAACCTCTGTGTATATACAATACATACCCTGAGGTAAACCAAACCTCTGTATATATATATATATACATACCCTGAGGTAAACAAAACCTCTGTGTATATTTACCTACCCTGAGGTAAGCCGAACCTCTGTGTATATTTACATACCCTGAGCTAAACCAAACCTCTGTGCATATTTACATACCCTGAGCTATACCAAACATCTGTGTATATATACATACCCTGAGGTAAACCAAACATCTGTGTATATATACCTATCCTGAGGTAAACCAAACCTATGTGTATATATCTACCCTGAGGTAAACCAAACATATGTGTATATATACCTACCCTGAGGTAA